CTCACCGACTACCAGAGCTTTAGCTCTAAGACCAAAAACTATCATAATTCAGGTACTAGTGGACAGCGGCTATGTTTTTGCATTGAACTTCTTAACTGTGCATATAACCTTTTCGATATTTCCTTGGAATTTCAGAGAACTCCCGAGAAAGATGCTTTCTCCAATGGAGAAACAACACAACTTCAGGTATGTTGACAAACAAAACAATCCCCTTGACTAATCACCATTTATAGTGATGGAGATCTAATACTTGATAATATATCTCAGGAACCTGAAACTGAGGATAGGCCCCAAAAATCGCTTAATCAGAAACAGCAGGTAGCTATCACTTTGAAGCCTTGTCACATATTTCATATACGGGGACAAGTTGTTCTGATTTGTTTTAATAGGCATTTTGCATACTCATTATGTGCAGTTTTCCATCTTGCAGGAAAATCAAGAGCTATTACTAAAGTCTATTTCGGAAGATATAGGATTTTCTGAAGGCAAGCCTGTTGCTGCCTGTCTGATATACAAGTGTCTAATACACTGGAGATCTTTTGAAGTAGAAAGAACCAGTATCTTTAATCGTATAATCGAGACAATAGCATCTGCAGTCGAGGTAGTATTGATGTTCTTGCATACCTACGCAAATCTTCTTTTAGGCCTGTAGTATGTTCCAAGGATTGGGCTGGCCGCCTACTTCATGGGGTGGTCTCAAGCTAAAATTTACATCTTTGCAGATGCAGGAAAACAGCGATGTACTATGCTATTGGTTATCCAATTCCGCCACACTATTAATGTTGCTCCAACGCACTCTGAAAGCCAGTGCTACAGGAAGCATAACTACTCCCAGACGTCGGGGAATGCCTACATCTTTATTTGGACGGGTATCTCAGGTGGTTAGAATTGTTACATATCTCTCTAAATGCTTGGTTTCATTAATCTCACTGTTCTCATGTAATCATTTGCATATTAGAGCTTCCGAGGTTCTCCACAAAGTGCCGGATTCCCATTTATGAATGGTAGAGTGATTGGCGGTGGGCTAGACGAACTCCGTCAAATCGAAGCTAAATATCCTGCTTTGCTTTTCAAGCAGCAACTCACTGCTTTCCTAGAAAAGATATACGGAATGATCCGAGACAAGATGAAGAAAGAGATTTCTCCTTTGCTTGCTTCTTGCATCCAGGTAGGCATCCTTTTAGTTTCCTTTTGCTCTCACAGAAAATAATATTTTTTCTATTATTGTGGTATTAAAACCCCTAAGCCTGGTTTTATTTTTTTGGTTTGATGGATACAGGCTTTAAGGACAAAGACTCCACGTTCTGGTTTAGTAAAGGGACGTTCACAAAATAATTTTGTTGCACAACAAGTGTTAATTGCTCATTGGCAAAGCATTGTTACATGTCTAAATGGGCACTTGAGGACTATGAGGGCCAATTATGTGAGTAAAATAAAATTTTCAGCCACAGATGAGATGTATTTGTTTTCCACTGTCTTCGTCTTTTTCCTCACAAACTTTGAACCTTTCCAAAAATGCAGGTGCCTTCGTTGCTAATTTCTAAAGTGTTCGGGCAAATATTTTCATTTATCAATGTTCAGTTGTTTAACAGGTAAATCTGCAATAGTTGCCACTGTCATGTCGCTATATAGTAGATATCCACTTATTTTTTCCTTTTTATCAATCGTGTAGCCTTCTTTTGAGACGTGAATGCTGCTCGTTTAGCAATGGGGAGTATGTAAAAACAGGGCTTGCAGAGCTGGAAAAGTGGTGCCATGATGCAACGGAGGAGGTAATAAATGTTCAAATCCTCCCTGGATATTTTCAACAGTTTGCTTAGTAAAATATGCTTGTTGTGTTATAGTTTGTTGGTTCGGCTTGGGATGAACTCAAGCACATCAGACAAGCTGTTGGCTTCTTGGTCATACATCAGAAGCCTAAGAAAAGCTTAAAAGAGATATCTACCGAACTTTGTCCGGTTAGTTCAATTATCTTTTCCGCCCTTCTCCATTAGTTAATCTCATGTAAATCTAATGAAACTTCTTGATTCTCTGCAGGTGCTTAGCATTCAGCAACTGTACAGGATCAGTACTATGTATTGGGACGACAAATACGGTACACAGAGCGTATCTCAAGAGGCAAGTGAAATTTTCAGTCTTAATTTTACTTTCGTCTGATTGATAGATCCGCTCGAGCAAGCCGTTCACATTAGTCTTATTTGGAGTCATGGTTTAAGAAAATCCAAGATTATAGAGAGCGGATTGCAATAGAAGTGCCAAGTATCTTTTAAATTCGCTTGACAAAAAATGTTGATGCAGGTGCTGGCAAGCATGCGGCATATGACTTCAGATGTAACAAAGAATACGATCAGCAGTTCGTTTTTACTAGATGACGATTCGAGGTAAACCCCAGAAAGAAAAAGAAAAAGAAAAACATTAACAAAACAAACGCTAGGATTTCACTTTTAAAAGGTTTGGTCTTTTCATAAAATTCTTGGTGATTCTTTTGCAGCATCCCATTCTCGCTTGACGAAATCTCGAAATCGATGCAAAACGTAGAGGTTGCAGAGGTTGATCCTCCTCCGTTGATTCGCCAAAACTCCAACTTCATGTTCTTGTTGGAAAGGTCAAATTGAAGTTGCAAACAGAAGTAGTAAATTCCCTTTACCCGATCGATCTCTAGGACATTCTTCAGGTTAGGAGATCAGTATTGTGCTGTACATTAGGCCTATCTTTGCCAGTGGCTGTGGTACTATTCTACTATTAATAGGGGGTATAGTGGGTAGGAAAACTATATATATATAAAAAAATATACCCATTGCAACTGTTGTTATTTTGTGGCCATGTTTTTAATTGGTAGACCATTTGCTTAATGAAAATCTTCCCTTCGTTCATCATTTTGTTTTTATTTGATCACGTGACTCTTTCTGCTGACTCAAGTGCAAAAAACCATGTCAGTGTATCCAAGTATACTAGTTCAGTTGGTGACAGAAATGTTTTCCTGATTTGGATTTCAACCGTTTTATCGGTTATACGGTTATGGTTCGCACAATTCAATTAGTGAAGTATATAAGAAAACCGGTTTAACAATGTCTGCTCGTGCATTGTACCTGACTGTATTGGATGTCACAAAGAGTAGCATAGGCTCTGCAGCGGTTATCTTAGGAGTTAGGAGTTACAGGGGCCAAGGCTGCTGCAATTGCTAATGCGGTTGAGGTTTTGAGTTTTGACTGTTGCAATGGCTGCACAGCTTGTTGGGACGCCTGTTGATGTGGTGAGCCAAAGGCTTATGGTTCAAGGAAGTAGTGATTAGGTCAATACATCTAGATGTAATTCTTTCAATTGGTTTGATGCATTTAGAAAAAGATCATTTTTGCTCATGGACCAAACTCACCAAAGGGACACAGAGGTTTCGAATATCTATTTTGACTTATGCCCCCATGGCCCCATCTAATGCACAACGGATGGTTTGGGGTGGAGTTCGGTGTTATCTGGTCCAATCGCTTGGGTCTTATGTTGAAAGATGACAAAGCTAACAATGAGAATTGTGAACAATAGTGTGATACAACCGGACTCCAAAATGATAATGACTGTTCAACTGGTTAGTTCCACCATTGCGGGTAGTGTCTCCGCTTTAATTACAATGCCACTCAAAACAATCAAAGACTATAATGCAAGTTCTAGATGGGAAAGATAGACATAGTAGTAGTAACAATAGGAAGCGCAGTCCGACGTATCCGACAAACGGTCAGGGACAGTGGTTGGACAGCTTGTTACAAAGGATTGGGACCAAAATGCGCTTCTAGGTCGACGTCTGCGATCGACAACTATGATTACTAAGTAAAGAACCATGACATGTTTCACTCTTGATCATCGTGACAACACACAACCGGGCCTTACAGAGAATCTGCAAGTTGATCAAGGCGGCTTCCTCTTCCTCGCTTCATTTAAGGAAGGCATCAGGTCCAATTATATATAAATAAACAGTTCTTAGTCGGTTCATTTCCAGGTTTTGCTTCGAATTAATCTAAGCCGAATATTTTATCCCTTCTTCGACCCTAGAATGGGCCTTCTTGGGCTTTAGACGAATAGTTTACCTTTTACGTGACACAGCCGAATATAATAATAATTAGGAGATTTGGTACTGACAATTTATAGCCAAATTGCATACAAGTCAACGTAACTGGCCAGTGAAACCCCAAGACAATGACGAAGATGAGATCTTCGGTGCTGAGACACGCGTTGTACCATCATTTGATATGTGTTTTTTTACATGACACCACCTATGATAGTTGTTGCGCCTCTCGGGTCACCTCTTGTCTCGTACTTGAACATTGGATGAACATAATCCTGGCTGACTTAAATATATATCGATATCGTCTGTTAAGACTTTAAATCACTGAAGAGGATTTGTTTATGCACCTAACCCCAAACCCTTTAGAGCATAAACCAATCCTCACGATCCATTTATATCGTTTCAACTCACTCAATCTTTCCAAGTTCTACTTGTCTGCTTGAAAAGAAAAAAAAAATGTTTTTATATGGAATAATATGTATCACGGAAGTTAAATCGGTTTTGATCTCATGATGATATATATATATATTCAATCCTCTGCAAAGTAAACGCCCCTTCGAATATTTTTTTGTAAGTCCTCCACGTTACCACCGATGTCAACTCACAAATCATAAATACAGAATAAATAGTAATATCTCTATGTAACATTGACCGTTTATTCCGTGCCGTTTTCCTTAGGACTGCACTTTTATATCTTCAAAAAGTCCCAAGTAATGGTGAAACAGACGTATATATATGTATTAAGATTTTTATACAAACAGAATTCGCGTTACATCATCATCTATCATCATATCGTACCATAACACGTAGATTGCCAAATCGAATATTGATCGAATAAGCCATGTGTAGATTTTATTCTTTGGACCTTTTCTCAGTTTCATGACATTTTCTTGGTAAATCCTCATCATTTTCTTGGAAATTTCACAGTCTTAATTTATATATTTTCTAGATACAAATGAGATCCTCAAATTCTTTATCGTCTTAATTACAACAATATACAAAGCTTGGAAGTAAAACTGATGCTCCCGCTTGGATCAAATTAAATGCATTCACCTTCTTCTTTCTCTACGACTGCTCCCCAAAAGTTCGGTGTCTTTCTGAGTTTCAGAGGCAAGGACACTCGCAGGACCTTCATCAGCTTCCTTTACAGAGAACTCATTCGAATGAGTATTCGAACTTTCAAAGACGACGTCGAACTCAAGAGTGGCCGTAGGATTTCTTCTGATCTCTTTACCGCAATCGAAAACTCCAAAATCGCCGTCGTGATTGTCTCCAAGAATTATCCTGGGTCTCCCTGGTGTCTCAAAGAGCTAGCCATGATCATGGACGTTGAAAAAAAGGGTTCGCTCATCGTTATGCCAATCTTTTACAACGTGGAGCCTGCTCATGTGAGGAGACAAATAGAAAAAGTAGCTCAGCAGTTTAGGAAACATGAAGATAGGGAAAACCACGAGACTGTGGTATCATGGAGACAAGCCCTGACCAATTTGGCAAGTATCTCCGGTCATTGTTCTCGTGATTGGTAGCTACTTAATTCATTTCTTCATTTAATATTATGTCACAATTCGAAACTATAGAGTTTTTGTTCGATCAGTTCGTGTTTTATTTCCTCTGTTTTAGGGAAGATGACTCGAAGCTAGTCGACGAGATTACCAAGAGAATATCTGACATGTTGTCACCAAGTGATGGCATCAGTAACCAAATTGGATTTGGTGCACACATGAAAGAGCTGTATCCATTGTTGGATTTGGATTCGAAGGAAGGTGTGAGAGTGATTGGAATCTGGGCGAGAGGAGGTAACGGGAGGTCAGCACTAGCTAGATACGTGTATCAGAAGACGTTTAAGCAATTCCAGAGCCAGTGTTATCTAGAAAACGTCAAAGAGATACCTCATGATTATCAAATGTCGAATCTAAGGGATGAGTTTATGATAAGGATTCAAGGAGGGTACTCGAAGATGAAGACATCAGGGTTGATCAAAACAAGGCTCATGAGTCAGAAAGTGCTACTTGTGGCAAACAACGTCGACAAGCTCGAACAGCTAGATGCCCTTGCGGAAGATTTTAACTGTTTTGGTCCAGGTAGCCTAGTGATCATAACCACACAAGACAAACAACTTCTAGTTGCGTTTGGGATAAAAGTAGTGTATGAAGTAGAGTGCTTGAGGTGCTTTGAAGTTCGGCAACTGTTTCGTCAAATAGGTTTTAGAGAGAGAGATCTCTACGTTGCTGGTTCCGAGTTGTCTTCACCGATATCGGGGACGGACTGAATCTTCCTTAAAATGGTAACTCTGGTTTCCGGCCTAGAAAATGGTTAGCTTCCTCTGTATTGAAGCAATGGTTAGGTTCCTCTTTTTATAGAGGTAAGTTTTATTGTACCTTACCTAAGACTTAGGAAGAAGATTTGGGTTAGGAGTTAGGGATATTGTTTATAAATATTTTGCCGGTGTACAAAAGAAGTATAAACCGTTGATCCAATAATAATAATAATAATGCATAGAACTCGAAATGCTCTGTTTTGAGTTTTCTCTGTTGTATGGGGAACTAATTAATAATGGATCATGTGTAAACGGAATGAAACTGGGCTCTCTTATTACATCGAAAGCCCCTTGTTATGTAATAAAATATGTCAACGTCTGTTTATAGTAGTTGTTGATGTTGGAATTGCCTTCTTTTTTTTTTTAACCGTCTCCACGCTCCACCGCCAGCTTCACGCGGTTTTCTTACATTTGTTTTGGTAATCGTTAATATTTAGAGGAAGGGATCAATTACATATGCAATCAGCCAATCAGTGTTGTTGTTACAATTCCTCCCTACTTCCAAAACCTGTGTGAGATATGCTTTTTATCTCTATAATCTAAATAAATAAGGCTCTTTTTTAACATTGCTTGATCATATAAATTTGCCACTTTAGATCAAAATTTAAACGGAAAGGGACTAAGCATCCGTTGTTTTCTTTACGTGGCAAGGGGTTTAATTACAATCATATATATTGACGATGATGATCATATTGCTTCAATACAAAGGAAAAATGATGTTTGGTGTGCGATTTCACGTTTCATCTCACTCACATATTGACATATATATATCATTGTCAATTATGTTTATATCGTTTCAAAACAAAATGTTATCTCTTTGCCAACTGCAATATATATATGTAGTACTGATTCGGTATACGAACAATATTAAGATCAATGAAAATTACTCACATAGTTTTGTTTTATTTATTTCGGTAATTAGTCACATAACATTGATATATTATTACTACCAACTTTTATAATAATAGTCTCTATCTGTATAGAATAAACAACTGGACTAGTTTGCAACAAAAAAAAAACTGGACTCTCGTGACTTATTTTGTTGTTGCAGCCGTTCACTCGAATGCGTGACAACTACGCGCTTATGTGACGCGTGGAAGCTCTAGTTCCGCGTTGCGCTGTCACTCTCTTTGTCGGTCCTCATCTCTTTTTTTTCTGCATTTGCTTCCTCTCTCCTCTTGTCCACTAATCTTGACTAATTATTTAACTAATCACACTGTAATAATAACCCTTAACAAATCTCCACAAAATCACCTCTTATAAAGAAGACTCAACTTCTCCTAAATCTTAACCCTTATTTCGTTCCAATCTAATCTAATCTAATCTAATCTCTCTCTCTCTCTCTCTCTCCCTCAATCTCTCATTCTCCGATTATGACAGACGACAGAGTTTACCCTGCTTCTAAACCTCCCGGCATCGTCGGCGGCGCAACAGCTAATCCAACTTTCCCGGCGAACAAAGCTCAGCTCTACAGCGCAAATCGTCCCGCTTACCGTCCACCAGCTGGTCGCCGCCGTAGTAGCCACAGCCGTGGATGTTGCTGCCGTTGCTGCTGCTGGACTATTTTCGTAATCATCCTCTTGCTCCTCATCGTCGCCGCCGCATCAGCCGTCGTGTACCTAATCTACCGTCCTCAGCGACCGAGCTTCAGCGTCAATTCACTCAAAATCTCGTCACTCAATTTCACCTCCGCCACTCACCTCACCACCGCTATTTCCCTCTCCGTGGTCGCCAGGAACCCCAACAAAAACGTCGGATTCATCTACGACGACACAGACATCACACTCTACAAATCATCCACCGGAGGTGATGATGACGATGTGGTCATCGGCAAAGGAACGATCCCGTCGTTTGTTCACGGGAAGAAGAACACTACTATGCTTAGATCTACGATCGGAAGTCCTCCGGGAGATCTCGATGAGATATCGGCGGGTAAGCTTAAAGGAGATCTGAAGGCGAAGAGAGGAGTAGCGATTAAGATAGTTCTGAATACCAAGATTAAAGTGAAGATGGGATCTCTGAAAACTCCTAAATCAGGAATTAGAGTCACTTGTGAAGGGATCAGAGTGGTGCCGCCGACTGGGAAGAAGGCGACTACAGCTGTTACCTCCGCCGCTAAGTGTAAGGTTGATCCAAGATTCAAGATCTGGAAAATTACTTTCTAAATTTAGAAAAAAAAAACACACAAACAAAATGGAATCACATTCTTAGTTTTCTCTTTCATTTTCCAATTTCTTTTATTATTATGAATCCATTGTTTCAATTTTCGTTTTCTCTTTTTTTTTTTTTATAAAAAAAATTGATTTCATATACAGTTCTTCGATCGATTCCTGTAAGACTTTTTATTTTATTATTATTTTTTGGTTTATGTAAATGAAGATATAAAATATTTGTGTTCGGTCTGAGATTTTTTAAAAATTTTAAATCATTTGATTATATATATTTAAAAATGTTCCGAGTTCCTTTTATTTAATTACAACAGTTATGATCGATGTAATGGCGCGAAAAAGAAGGGAGAATAAAGCGCAACTAATGTAGTATTTAGTAGTATTAATTAATAGAGAGGGGTAATAATGAAAGTGAGAATGTGTGACCACCACAACTATTACAAGTGCTTTGGTCAATTGATTTTTAATTAGACATTAATTAAGCTGTGGCTACTTTTTCTTCGGTTTGTCCAAGAGTATCAAATAATTAAGCTACCATGTGGTCCATGTGTGTGTGTATGAGAGAATACATACACATAACATTACCCTAAAGAAGAACCTTATGAATTATTTGTAGAACCATGAGTTTTTATAGCTACATATATATAATTATTGATGTGTTGTGTAGTAGTAGTAGTCTCCGGGTCTGTTGGGCAAATGACAAACTCTTGTGGGTGTTTTGATTAAATTAAGTTACAAGTGTGGGTGCGAAGTTTACGTCCCCTTTTAAGGTCTAGAAGAAGGTGTCGGTGAAATGAATTCAATTGTTAATAAAGAAAAAAGCAAAAGCTACAATACAATATGATGATGATTCGAAATCAGGTGTTATGTAATTATCAACAACACTTAAAATAAAGAGAGATTAGGTTTAGGTGTTATGGTTATGGTGTCAAACGACGGCTAAACAAACATGTGGTTGGATTTTTATTCCTTTCCGACATGTACTACTTTAAAAAATCAAGTAGCAGAGAGATTTGGTTAGTTTAATCTGTTAAGAATATACTATTCTGATTTATCATATATCAAATCAAATCGAATTGACATACCATTATAAGTGTACATAATTTTACGTTTATGGAACATATTATTATTATTTTAAATTATAGATTTATACAATATACTTTCCAAAACAGTAAAGGATAACACCTTCACAAAAAGAACCATGTGAACACCACATGTTTTTAGGCTGTTGAATTTAACATTTTTTAGTCACTGCCCAAACGCCTTGGTAAATAAAACCCTCGTGCTAATAACTTTTTTTGTTGTTGTTATGCGTAATTTATTTTACTTTTTACTTACTGTACATATGCAATATATTACTACACTAACCTCTGATGGACCTAGTGTTAGTAAATGTTGTTAAACAAGAGCGTCACATATAAAAATAGTTAACATCTTTTAAAATTTTGAAAGTTGCTACTAGTGTACATGGTTTACTCTTCTCTTTGGCGATTTCGTCTTCAACAAATCCCTTGGCGTCTTCGTAAATGTTGTTTCCACACTTGTCCATCTCCATACACTTGGAATTCTTCTCCCAACGTTGTTTCAGTTACCTCCAGTTCGTTCTACTCTCTTGCGATTAATAATGATCAGTCCCTCTTCCATTACTTCGATCAAGTTCTTGGATTCTGCTTGACGGCTCAGCAATGCAAGCAAGTTCATGCACGAGCACTTGTATCCCATTTCTTCTACCGTTCTGGTTCCTTAGCTGCGAATTTCATATCGGTTTACTCTCGGTTAGGACTCCTTGTCGATGCCCGTAACGTGTTTGAGACTGTTTCGTTTGTTTTGTGCTCGGATTTGCGTTTGTGTTACTCGATTCTCAAAGCTAATGTGTCGCATGGGTTACACGAGGATGCTCTTGAGCTTTACACGGGAATGCGTGAACAAGGTCTCGCAGGGGATGGGTATGTGTTACCCTTGATCCTTCGAGCTTCTAGGTACTTGGGTCGTTTTGGTTTGTGTCAGGCTTTTCATAGTCATGTTATTCAGATTGGTTTGAAAGATAATCTTCATGTGGTTAACGAGTTGGTTGTGTTGTATGCAAACGCAGCAAGGATTGGAGATGCCTACAATCTGTTTGTTGAAATGCCTGTGAGAAACCGTATGTCATGGAATGTCATGATTAAAGGGTTTTCTCAAGAGTATGACTGTGACAGTGCTGTTAAGATTTTTGAGTGGATGCAACGCGAAGAGTGCAAACCAGATGAAGTGACTTGGACTTCAGTTTTGTCATGTCATTCGCAATGTGGCAAGTTTGAAGATGTTTTCAAGTATTTTCATGCCATGAGGATGAGTGGAAGTGCAGTTAGTGGCGAAGCTCTTGCTGTTTTCTTCTCTGTATGTGCTGAATTAGGGGCATTAAGTTCCGCTGAGAAAGTTCATGGGTATGTTATAAAAGGTGGGTTTGAAGAGTATTTGCCCTCGAAGAACGCTTTGACACACGTGTACGGGAAGCAAGGGAAAGTTAAAGATGCACAACGCTTGTTCCGGCAAATAAGAAACAAAGGTATAGAGAGCTGGAATTCGTTGATAACATCGTTTGTGGATGCTGGTAAACTCGACGAGGCTCTTTCATTGTTTACTGAGCTGGAGGAAATGCATTATGACGTCAAGGCTAACGTAGTTACCTGGACCTCTGTTATCAAGGGTTGTAACGTCCAAGGAAGAGGTGACGATGCACTTGAATATTTCCGGCGAATGCAAGTGTCCAAAGTATTGTCTAATTCAGTGACGATTTGTTGTATACTATCAATTTGTGCGGAGCTTCCAGCTTTGAATCTCGGAAGAGAGATCCATGGGCATGTGGTACGGACCTCAATGAGCGATAACATTCTTGTTCAGAATGCATTGGTGAATATGTACACAAAATGTGGGTTACTCAATGAGGGAAGTCTAGTATTTGAAGCAATTAGGGATAAGGATTTGATCTCATGGAATTCCATAATCAAAGGCTATGGTATGCATGGGTTTGGAGACAAAGCTCTAAGTATGTTCGATAGAATGATAAGATCTGGGTGTCGTCCTGATGGGATCGCTTTGGTAGCTGTTCTTTCAGCCTGTAGTCATGCAGGGCTGGTTGAAAAGGGACGTGAAATTTTCTATTCTATGAGCAAGAAATTTGGATTAGAGCCTCAACAAGAGCACTATGCATGTATTGTTGATCTCCTTGGTCGTGTAGGGTTTGTGAAAGAAGCGAGTGAGATTGTGAAGAACATGCCTATGGAGCCCAAGGTCTGTGTGTTGGGAGCTCTGTTGCATTCTTGCCGGATGCATAAAAACATGGACATTGCAGAAGATATAGCATTACAACTTAGCGTTCTCGAACCAGAGAGGACAGGAGGCTATATGTTGCTTTCTAACATCTACTCTGCTGGTGGAAAGTGGGAAGAATCTGCAAAGGTTAGAACTTCAGCGAAGAAAAAGGATTTGAAGAAAGTTTCTGGAAGCAGTTGGATTGAATTGAAGAAAAAATCCTATAAATTCTCGTCAGGGACAATAGTACAGAGCGAGTTTGCGAGCATCTACCTGGTTCTTGAGGATTTGGTTAGTCATATGTTGAAAAAAACCCCTACACATGATGGGAACAGTTATGACGATGATCTAGACTTATAGATAGCATAAGAGATGAGTATATCCCGCATACACTGAGATGATGCACATCAAACAAAAACCAAACTTTGGAACCTATCAGGTAAGCTTGCTTCAGACCATTCAAACTAGCATTGTCCACTTACCAAATCAATTCTTTACGTTGCTAAGTTCAGCAGTTCGCTATCTTCTTACCTTTACAATTATCATAATCATAGCAAGAACACTTCATGACAGACTCTGCTGCATATTTTGTGTCACAGGTTCTAATATTCCACAGCGTTATCTTTGATGGTAGTAGGCAAAGGACAGCTCTTGCCTCTCCTGAGCTAGAGACCAACCAATGTCAAGCTGCTGGAGAACCAAGAAATTAGCATTGGAACGCTCAATCTGGCACTGATGTTCTGACACACAACCCTTTTAACACCCTCGAAGAGAAGAATGGTGTGTTCGTTGAGATTCTATTAGAATTGTGTAAATTTAATAATATTCATACATACAACATTATGAAAGAATTTCATTGACAATAATAATGTTTGGCCTTAAATAACAACACCTTTATCACAAAATTGACATGTCTTCAAACATGTCTATCTCACAATAGTTGAATGTAAAGAATTGGTGAAGTGTCCCAATCTATTTCTTAACTTAACCGTTCCTTGAAGCAAAAAAAAAAGAGAAAAAAACATCTTTTTACAAAAAAAAAAGAAAAAAGACAGAGTCTCTGCCGCAGCCGGAAGTTCTTACTTTTGATAAGGATGGTATCGAGCTGGCCCTGAACCATTAGTCCCATTTCCTCTGCCACTGCTTGAGCTGCTGTTTCCGTTTCCATGAGCTTTTCTACCTTCATAAGCAGTAGCCGCAGCAACACCATAGCCACCACCCATATGGCTGTAACCGCCAGCTCCATAACCCAGGTTGAACATTTGACTTCCATAACCATAACCATAGCCATACCCACCACAGTAACCATAAAATCCAGAAGCGTTAACCATGGAGTTCCCTGCGTAGGCTCCATAACCGCCATAACCACCATAACCCGAATACATATTGTACTCTTCATTTCCTTTCCCACCATAAAAATCTTCCTGATCATACTTACCACTAGCATTATAGGCCCGAAAGCTGTTATCTCTGCCGGTTCTCTTTGGTTCAGCCCTTTTTATCTCCACCTATTGATCCATTTTCAGTGCTTGAGATTGCTATATTGATTTCTTTAGCTTAAATTCCAAAACAAAACTAAAACGCAGTTTACCTGCTTGTCACCGAGCTCGTGAACTTTTTCATCGGAGAAAAGTCTGTCAACAGAATCTTCTGTCTGAAAAGTTATAAAACCGAACCCTCTAGACCTTCCAGTGTGGTGGTCATACATGATCTGGTGCTCGATTATCTCACCATATACACAGAAATGGTTCTTCAGTTCATCTACAAATATGAAAAGGCACATTATCAGCAACAGTAACAGAAACAGACGGAATAAAAGAAACTTATACCTTCTTCTAAAAGTGGTGGAAGTCCACCAACAAAGATTTTCCTAGTCTTTGATACCGCTTTGATATCAGTATCCCTGTCCCCTCTAGGAACTGTCCTTTTCAGGTCAACCTAACATTTAATATGAATTAACTAAAGCATCCAATTGCTAACTAACTGAGATACAAACTCATTTAGGATAGATAGCTTACCTTTCGGTCATCTATTACATGTTCTTCCTCCAAAACTTTCTCCGCAACAGCTGGATCAGCAAAAGTCACAAACCCAAATCCCCTTGGTTTTCCAGTCATTCTATCTGTCATGATTACAGAATCGACAACTTCTCCAAACTTTCCAAAGTAATTGGCAAAATTTTCTGGAAAAAGAAACAAAGTGGAAGCAATAGAATCATCACGCATAAGACAAATAACCAAGAACTAAGAGAGAATCACAGTGCCTTACTCCTCCATTGCCAATTACAGTAACAAAGGGAAGTTCTAATGATCACATTATATGAAAGAATCCTCACACCAGACACAAGACAAGGACACATCATTTGTTGGAGCTCCAACGAAAAGGCCAAGACAATGAAATGACTCAAACAAAAGCAAGAACTAGAAGAAACATCATACCTTCAGTTGTTTCCCAAGAAACTCCACCTACGAATAGTTTCCTAACAACATAAACAAAGACAAAAGGCACAATAAGAAACCTTTCCATCAATATTTTAATAACCAGCTCGATTGATAAGGAGATTAAAATCAAAAGTAAACCCAAACCAAAAAAAAAGAAAAGTAAGAAACCACGAACCCAGGAGAAGACATGGACGAAGACGAATGGCGATGCTCAACGGAGTGCTTCATCTGAACCCCACCAGTATCAACGGCTGCACCACCGTTCCTCCGGTCATCAAAGGTCTCCACTTCATAATCCGACGGAGGTAGTTGTTCCTCGTGTACGTGACGATGGTAAGAGTCATCATAACCACGATCTGAGTTGTAATCCATCAATCACTGCAGCTAAAATCAAAACAAAACCCCTACTTTCTCAGTCTGCCGATGATGAAGCTCAAGCGAAAGGAGTGAAACCCAAACTTATAAAAATGGAACTTTTTTTCTGCGATTTCGATTACTTATTCAAAAGGATTATGACATCAAACCATTCCAAAAAAATCTTAACTTTGAAGAGGAAAACCCTAACCAAAGATGGGTGAAGTGGAAACGGCAACAATCAAGCTCAGGCGAGAGTTTTAGCACTAGAGCCAACTGATAAACTTTTGAAACAAAATAAAATTTTTATTCGGTGTTATCAACTTATCATCCGAATATAGGGAGAAAACGACATCGTGTTAATCATAGATAAACGTTGGTCAAACAATTTTCTTGTCGCCTTGTCAACAACATAAGGAGATCAAAGGTTGACTTGTGTTTGACACTTTTAACTGGTTCAATTTCAATAGACTGTCTTTGTAAAGATGAAAACTTTCATACAATTATGAAACTCTCTTTCACACATTGAACAAATCTTTAGTTAAGCCTCTCTGGATTTTGCAGCTTTTAGTGCTTCAATAACCGCAGAGAAATCTTCATCGCTCAATCCATAAGATTTTGCAACCTTATAGAGCTCGTTTGCAGCAGCTGCAATCGGAGTAGATTGAGATACAGATTCCGCTAGTCCAAGTGCAAGTCTCATATCCTATACGTGCATGGAAATCATAAACGGTCTCAGCAAACTAGAGAGTTTTTGTGAGGATCTAAACAAGTAAACAACCCAGGTACACAAACCTTCTGCTGATGTTTTAATGGGAAAGCCGTTGGGTACACTGACTTGATCATAGAAGGACCTTTTAGCGAGTACATTGGCGCATTGATAGCTCCCTGTGAGACAACCTGCATGGTTTTTTCCCAGGGTTTACAATGGAATTTGGGAAGAAAATCTCAGGTAAGTAATGGTGTTTAATTACCTCGACCAGTACATTTGGATCGAGTCCAACTTTCTGGCTTAGAAGTATTCCCTCCGCGAATGATGCCATCATACTGCATGAGTATGAGAGGAGAGATCAGGAGAAGAATCTGGGATTTGCCAAGAAATTAAGCCATATATAGATGGTCAAATGATACCTTCCCATGATCATGTTGACGACAAGTTTCATTGCTGCTCCATTACCAACTTCACCCAAATAGAATCTTGACTGGATCATATAATGCAAACTAGTAATGAAAATGGTTTATTTACAGAAGAAAAAAGAACTGAAAGCAAAACACAGGCAAAAGACATACCTTTCCCATGATGTCTAAGTAAGGAGACGCTTTTTCGTATAACAGCTTGTCACCTGAAATATTAAGTGGCAGATACCCTTCAATTTTCTTTTCATTCAACCATGTTATATGACACAGGCAAGTCCCCCGTGAAACAAAAAAATCTGATACGAATAATAATGATATATTATTTGTGTACACACAGCGAGGAGTAAGTAAAGCTATTACTAACCTGCAGTGAGGAATATCAACTGCCCATCTTCCGCTGGCTTTTTGGAACCGGAAACTGGTGCCTGTCAATATCATTAGAGATGAATGAAGTCACCTGATATGCTACAACTTGAATTGGTGATTCCAAACATCGATAAGAATCTTTACCTCCAAAAACAATGCGCCGGTGTCTTTTATTTGTTTGCTGATTAGCATCGATGAGGCAGCATCAACGGTTGAGACATCAACATACCTGCATTAGCAGACAAGTCCCATTTTTACAATAAAGTATGGGACAAATTACTAGATTGATTTCAAGAAGAAAAAGAAAAAGAATGACTGCGAACTCTGCGGTAGTTACATGAGAAAATACAGATATCTTGTAACAATTCAACACAACCACGTTAAATCGAACATAGATCTCATGAAGGAGTAGGTACCCTTTTCCTGAACTAATTCCAAATACGGCTCCATTCTTTCCACAGGCAACATCAATCTGACGGAATGCGAAACACAAGTTCTATTTAAATATGGAGTGAAAGAAGCAGAAGAGAAGCAAACAAAAGTGAAGACATACGCACTGCACTTTCAGGATCAGCAAGCATAGCAAACGTGAGATCACAAGTTGCAGTCACTTCTTCAGGAGAAGACTTGTACCTAGGAAACAAGAGAAACTTTCACCATCAGAAGTTTTGCCTTTAACAGTTTAAATTAGCAGCAAAACCTCAGTTGGAATAAATCATTAATCAGTCAATTGTCAATCTTTGAAAGAAGCATTGAAACTCTTACTTCGCTCCTAATCCAACGAGTGGATCACATTTGCTCTTAGTTCGATTCCATACAGTCACATCACACCTAACAACCAGCCCCAGGAGTGGTACGCATCATCATTCATCAATACATCAAGAAGAGGTAAAGTAGCAAAATTGATTTGAATTATACAGTCAACATATAAGATAAATTTATCCCAAAGTCAAAAACTTCAGTTACCCAGCTTTGATGAGGTTTTGAGCCATTGGAGAACCCATGATTCCCATACCAAGAAACCCAATGCTAACAGTTCCAAGTTCATCTGGGTGTCATACAAACAATAATTCCACAGATAAGAGACTACCCAAAAAGGGATAAACAGATAATGGTCATTTCGTAGATTTAAACACAATTCATAATTCAGGACAAGAGTGCATGTGGAAATTGGGCAGGCAACAGTTGTATGAAAGCAAGAAATTACCTTTGGTAGATTGGAGGGAAGAGTAAACCCTATAAGAGAGAGAAAATAGAGGTTTTGAGAGCAAGGGGGAAATGGGTTTTGGTCTAAATCGAAGAGGGATACGAGGGCAGAAGATGGAGCACAAAGCCATGGCTCTTGAAGATGAGATAATGAAACCAAAGGCTTGGCCATTGGCAAGTGTTCTACTTGTAGTAACACTGTGGCCGATATTCTCACATTTCGAGGCCGAAGTTGACATTTTTTTTTTTCTTTTTTCTTTTGTCTTTATGGATTGGAAACAAAATTCACTGGGCCAGTGGGTGAGTGGCCAGTCCAATGCCTTCGGTTTAAATCTAATTTCGGAACGGAGATAATCTACGGGTCGGTTAAGGTGCATTTAACCTTTAAAAGAGATGAAGGAAATGTAAGAGATGCACGTTTGGACTTGGTTCAATCCATATTAACCGAATTAATTTGATTCAAACCGAACCCACAAAAATCGATTTGAAAACCGGGTATGTGAAAATCATTGTGTCTGAGGACTTTACACCTATGGAGGAAGCTGGTTTTGTCTCTCTATACACAGCACCAAAAAGGAGAGAACATAAAGGCTTCAGTTTCCCTGTTGAACTCACGGCAGTTACAATCCCACCAAATCATGTTCTGCAAGTTCGCAGTCTTCCATTTTTATGCCTGAGAACAACCACAAGTGTGGAGGGCAAGATGGTTGGAGAAGTTGAGCAATATGTCGTAAGAAAAACATCAAAGTTTCGAGATCTTAAGAAAACGATCCTGATTATGAGTTTATTCGCTTATGGAGCAGGTAATCTAGATTTACTAATAAGCTTGAGCAGAGAGAGAGATGCTGACCAAAAGGAGTCTTTCTTCTCCTGTTCCAATAGCTCTTCGAAGGAGATGTCTGAAAACTCATCATCTGGATTGTCTAACTCTGTACTTGATTTGTCTTTGAGTTCCATGGAGGCGCTTATTTCAAGAACCTACAGTATCAGAAAGAGTATTCATGGCTATGACTATAGTTGAGCAAAAAGGAAACCAAAAATATCAAGAAAACTCTCAATCATGCTAACAGAATCCAATACATGAAATGCACATATAAGACTCTACTGGTTTAGCAGACATCAACAAGAATCAGAAACATTGTCGAATAGATTTTGAGGTATCGGACACATACGCCACAATCTACAAAAACAAGTGACTGAGTTTGGTTTAACCTTTTTGTATGCAGGTGAAAGTTTTAGCTGTTGCTGGAGCCAATTATATACAAGTGCATCTTCTTCTACTCTTTTTTGTTCCATCTCCAGCTTATAGATCTGATGACACACAAACATTACAATTTACTTTAAAACCAACAGACTGGAAAAGAAAAGGAAAAAAACAGATGGGTATTGATGATCACCTGTTGACGAAGTCGGTCAAAGGATGATCTATCCGCCTTGAAGAGAAGGGCTTTTGTTATCGAAAACTTGCGCTTGATTACTTGTGACCTACCATAGTGACAAGCAGGCTTAAATCAGCGTCACTGAAGAAGAAAAGACCCAGACAAGCAACAAAAATCGGAATCTATGACAAAGCATTGAGCACGAAGCAGCTATTAGTTATTCCTGTGTCCTCAAAACGTAGGAAGAACAAAGAAAATGGATCAGAATGATATAATTCAATAATGATAGTGTTAACTTACTTGTGTTGTAGTTCATTTTTGGCTTCTATCAAACAATTAGCAAACTCCCCAACCTGCAAAAGAGTATCATTATCTAAAAACTCAACTGGGATGGAACATTGTAGTAATAATCCAAAGGCTAGACTGAAGTAAATCATTCTGTTATATCACAAGGAAGCAAGCTGATGGTAGAGAGTACTAAAATCCCCAACTCAAAAGTCCTTTTGTTCATCAACTGAGTTAGTATAGGATAAAGAACAAACACCACAGAGGCTATAAGATGTTGATTGAAGCCTATAGCTTAAGGAAATCACAAACACAGGCTAAGTAGACAATAACACATTTTGACTTCGATTTAAGTTTTCAAATAAACGAGCAGTTTGTATTTGCAGTAGTAGATATAAGCTAAGGTAAGAAGAAGAAGCTGACCTGAGCTAGAGTCAATCCTTTGGCAGTATTGCATATGACGAGCTGATCGTACTGCTGCTTAATCTTCCTCTGCGTAGCACTGCTCGTCGAGGTAAAAGGGTACAAACAAACAAACTCCGGTTTGGTATCCGGAATCGAAATCGAGCGAGACATGGTATCTCTCTCGCCAGCCTGCTTTTCGGCGCCGGGTTCATCTTTGTCTCCCCCTTTTAGCTCTGGTTTCTTCTTCTTAACTCGCTTCCTCTTCTTTTTCTTCTTCGCAGACACTCCTTCATCTTCCTCCCAGTCCGATTCATCCTTCTTATCGGAGAGCAGTAACTCGTACAGACGCGAATTCGTCAAATGGGTCGAGCCATCATCTTCGCGGGTCTGGTACTGGGCTACGTCCGAAATCTCGCAAGGATTCGATTCTGGTTCGAGTTCAGCTTCTGATTCGGATATGAGTTTCTGTCCATACAGAGCAGCTCTGCGGAGAGAAGCTTTGTGAAGAAAGAAGATGGCGGAGACGAATGAGAGGAGAGAAAACGTTAGTAGAGAGAAGATGAGAAAGGAATACATGAGGGGGTTTAGTGAAGATGCTGTCATTTTGATTTGTGTGAAATAAGGAGCCGCCATTAACGTGCTTCGTACATCACAGAGGAAATAGAGAGAGAGAGAGAGGAAGGAAAAAAAAAAAAAGAGATAAAGAGAAAGCGACGACGAAATGCTTTTCTTAGTATAATAAACGTGAAAATTCCATAAAAGTTCCCCATCTAATTTTAATTTGGAAGTTTAATACCCAATGTTATTTGGTTGGAAACAAAATGCATGGTTTATTAATTTGTTGTCTATTAATACATCAAGTATATAAAAATTGTCGAATCGAAGAAACCGCTTAACAAACGGTAATCGGATTGACGGAATCACTAAACCGGGGTTAATGGAATTACACTAAACTTAGGGTTTATCGATCCCAATTCGATTTGGGATAATAGCAAAAGACAATGCAGTCTTTGGATAACCCCAAATTACCCGTGAGTTTAGGGATTAGTAATTTCGTCAACCTCGGTTTAGTGATTCCATCAATCCGATTAAACGGTTTATTCGATTTGACAATTTGTATATACTTAATGTATTAATAGACCAAAATTTAATAAACCATGCATTTTAGTTCCAATCAAATAACATTGGGTATTAAACTTCCAAATTAAAATTAGATGGGGAATTTTTATGGAAAAATTTTAAATATCTTGGTCTTTCATTTTTATTCTCTTTTTATTTGCATTAATTTTAGAGATTTTAAATTAGCAATGTAATCTATGAGATTATTATAGTTGTAGTTGAAATGGTTTGAATAGATAGACTCTTTTTTCTGTTATGATAATACTAATTATATATATATATAGTTACTTTCAGTAATGTCTGGTTTTACTTCTTCTTCTTTATTGTAAAACCATCTGGTTTTAACTTCTAGACAATGCATTTAAATGGTGTGAGTAATTTACTTTTGATTTTCTTTGACTTGTTAAACTATTAATAATGTAATTTAATACAAAATCCTCTTTGAAAATTAGTCAATAGTTTTGTATTAGCAAATTAGTAATGTTACAACTTACAAGACAGAGCATATGTAAATACGTTTTGACTTTTGAATACGTATGTTTTAGAAGAGCACAAATTTTAGAGTATCTGTTGCAAAATTGAACATCAGTTATGTATCTCCATAGCTAACAACAGAGTCGTTGTAGTATAGTGGTAAGTATTCCCGCCTGTCACGCGGGTGACCCGGGTTCGATCCCCGGCAGCGGCGATTATTTTTGTTAAGGAACTTAAACTATTTTTTAATAACAATACAAAATTAGTAATGGCTTCGCCCGGGTTCGAACCGGAGACCTTCAGTGTGTTAGACTGACGTGATAACCAGCTACACCACGAAACCTTTTTGCCTTGCTTATCAACAAAGTTCTATAGACCGTATATAACTAAAAGGTGTCTACACAATGATTTGATCTCAGGATATCGTATTCTCTCTAACACCGCCGCGACTAGTCACGTTCCCGACGGCGAAGAACTCCAGTTCGACGAGCTCCTTGTCTTCCAGGTAAACAATTTCTTCGGGTATTCATGATCCCATAAACAAATTAGGGATTTCGATATCCTATTTAATAGTTGAGTAGGCTAAGACCCCTAGGCAGCTTCCATGTCAGTGCGTCAGCATCTCCGTGGCAGTTTTGTAGCTTCCAGTAGATATCATCTCGATTTGTTTTGATTCCTTGTTTGGGATGTTTTTTTTTTAGAAGATAGTGAAGTTTGAGAAAAGTAAAGTCCTAAAGAAAGTTTTTGATTTGTTTATTCTTCTCTTATTGAAAGGATGGAAAATAAAGGAAAGGGTGTGGTGGGAGGAGATGAGGGAAACTTGTTTTCTCAGTTAGAAGAAGGTCCAAGAAATATGGGGTGTGAAGAGGAAGTACTTGGTGTTGATTGTAGTGATGATGAAGACGTGAACAGTGATGAAGAAGGTCTGGTAGATGATGATGATGATGATGATGGAGATGATTCAGAAGAAGGGGATGAATTTGAAGCTGGAGGTGAAATTCCTAGTACATTTGAACGACTTGAGTATGAAGCTCTGGCTGAGAGGAGACGCAAAGCACTTGCTGATTCTCAACGGTTAGTTTCTCTCTATCTTTTTTTCTTTTGAGTACAATGTTTCAATGATTCTGAGACTGTGCAATTCAATGAAGCAATTTTTTAAGATTCTCTCAATGTGTTTTGGTTACGTAACTTTCTTGCGTGAGGATCCCTCAGATTCAAAAAGCACTTGTTGGTAAACTCGAAGTGCAAATATGCATACCCATTAGTTTTATCCTGCTTTATAATTACCAACATTCTTCGAATATCCCCTTTAGATAGATTTGTTGGTCAAGTACTTCCCTTGCGTTACTCTACATTCTTTTGAGCTGGTTATTTGTTTGTAAATGTGACAGTGATGCTGTTAACATCTCGAATAGCACCTCGGGCGTGGAGGGATTCATGGAATTTGTATCTTCTGGTCGCCGACGAAAATCCAGGAAGGTGTGTATTTTCTAGATAGCTAATATATATATGCTATATTCACACGTTAACTTACATTACATTGTCTTTTAAATCTGTCTCTTGCAGCAATAGCTATTACCATTTGTCTATTATTAGGCATTAGTTCTAAAACAGCACTTGAGGTGCATTTTTTTTTCTCTAACCACAATGAAAGAGAAGCACGAGTTTCCCTTGTATATTCTCCCGTGCTACACTCCAACGAAATTATAGGATAGGTCAAAATGTATTCATATCGAGCTGGCAATACGACATATCCTGTCACTTCTTTTTAAATAATTCTTTCTATCCTTATGCAGCATAGAAAAAAGGGTAGAAGAGTTGGGTCAAGGAAAGGAGTTGCACCTGACATTTTAAAGAGGTTTAGGGAGGCTCTATTTCTTCATGCACATGGTCATGACAGTGAGGTAAACTAGGTGAAGTGTATATGTTCTGTTGGTATCATGCTTATCGAGAGAACACTGAGGCTAAAGAACACACTTCATAATTTCCTGAATGAATAATTTGTTCCTTCTCTTCCACAGTAATAGTATGGTTTGATTATTAAATATTTGAAACACTGCGTTTTCCTAAATAGTATTTGTGCACGTATATCTGTCTTTGATGTATAGGGACTGACCCAGATTTATGTGGGTTTACTTTCTTCCAGGCATTACCTATTTTATTAGAAGTTATTAAGCAAGCACCAACCTTCGATGTAGCATATTATTACCTTTCACGTGTTTCGGAGCAACTTGGTAGGACTGAATCATCTTCTACGGAAGCATTAAAGATTGCTGCAAATATCAAAGGTCCAAAATCCCCTTTTTGGAAGTTACTTTATGAGAGGTTCAAGTAAGTTCTCTCTGTTTAATCCAGTCTTCATTTGCATCATCTTGCACAGCAGAAATGCCAAACGTGAATTATTTTTCTGCTACTACTATATGCTTGTCAATAATGGCTATCTAGATGTCAGCATAATTCTTTGACAGTAGGACCTACTCAAAGATTGTAGGGCTTACAAATGATGAAATGAACATTTTTAGTCTAGTTGCTGATATGAATCCTTAGGGAAGATGAGTAGAAGGAAGAGAAGGATACAGATAAAAAGTGGTTGGGGGAGGGAACCTATTTTTGTTTTCTGTCTAGAATCTTTTTTATTTTGGCAAGCTAAGTAGCAAAAATTATTGATATCAGGGAACAAGAGAACATGTCTGCAGCAAGGAGTTATGCGTCCAAAGCAATACAAGCTGATCCCGACGATATCCCTTTGAAATATGAATATGCAGACCTCTGCCTAAATGCTGGAAAATGTAGAGAAGCTGCCGAAACCTATGAGCAAATATTTCGGCGGTGTCCTGATAGAGTTGAAGCACTCAAGTGGGGTACGGAGGTATGTGCTGAATGACTTAAAATTTATTCTCATTTTTAATCCATGTGATGTGGTTTCTGTTGCCAGAAAACAAAAACAAAAACAAAAACAAAAACAGCTGGTTTGACCAATTTTATGAACTTTTATTCATATTTGGTCTTTTCAGTATTTTCTTAAATCCGGTGAGGGTGAACGAGCAGCGAGCATCTTAGAGGATCATATCAAATCCCATGCCTCTGAAGTGGGGCACGATATCTTGGATTTACTGGCTTCTGTTTTCATGCAAATTAATGCGCATGATAGAGCTCTTAAGTATATTCACGATGTGCGCCAGATTTACAATGTAGGAAAAGAACTATCTTCCAGCTTGAAAATAAGACAAGCCATCTGTCATGTTCACCTTGAAGAAATGGAGCATGCAGAGGTTTGTATATTTATAATTATAAAACTGCTACTCGTTTATTTCAGTGATTGCTATAAAGCTATATCCTCTTTTATTTCTTGTAATAGATCTATAAGCCATCTCATTTTCCCCAAATTTTGTGTGTTTCTGGAACCCATATCTTCTGCTTTTAATGACCCGGAGTTGCAATCCTTGTTTGTTTGAAACCTGAGGATTGACAACAAACAAAAAAAAGAGAGAGAGAGGATGAGGACTCATAATAATCTTTGCAATGTTTGATTTCGTACCTGCCTATAAATATTTTTTTGTTGCTGTCAGATGTTGTGTACCTATTCTTGTGAATGATGCTGCTTCCCTGATCTGCAGATTGTGTTAAGCATTCTACCACAGGAGGCTGTATCTGAACATCCAGAGCTCATCACCGATTTGGCTGATGAGCTAACAAACATTGGGAAATTTCACTCTGCTCTCAAATACTATTTAGAAGCAATCAGTGAATCTGTGAATGTAAGGCAATCACCAATTCTGCTCCATTGTTTCCTCTCTTCCAACTTTTGCTTCACCCTTTGGATAACTCGTATTGTGGTTTTCCTTGTAGAATGGCTATTTATTTGTGAAAATTGCTCGTTCTTATATGTCATTGGCAGAACGTGAACAGGCCATTGTTTTCTATTATAAAGGTACTTTCATATTTTCATTGAATAAGAGGTTGATTTAGTTTTTGTGTAATGTGTTTTCTAAAATGAAAGAGCTCGTAGATACTTATATTATATCTTTAGCCCTCTCTTTTCAAGTGTAGAAACAATTTCACAGTGTTCTGTCAATAGTTAATTGCATGGGATGTTCTGAGGTTTCAAAACTCAAATCTTTTTATGATTTTCTATATCTTGCAAATTGAAATGGTATTGTCTATAGTCTTCTCGGTTTCTCATTAGTTTCTATTCGATTTGTTGCTGACTGAAATATTCTTCAGCTCTGAATGAACTCAAGGATACGGTTGATGCTCGCATAACTCTGGCTTCACTCCTCCTGGAAAATGGCAAACGGGATGAAGCTATATTAGTGCTTTCTCCTCCGGAAAATCCAGGTCAGTAGAGAAAATTGTAGTCTCTTTTCTGCCTGTATTGTCTGAGCGAGTGTATATCTTACCTAAGATTTGGTCCTCATGGTACAGTACTTCATTAAACAGCTTCTGCAGCTTTGATGCGAAATTTTTCAATAAAATAATGATTGTGTTACTTTTACTGTGTCGAATATTTCCTCAAATGTTAGTTATGTTATTTGCATCCAATTGTGTTCCTGTGTTGGACCATCTGTTATAAGATTGCTAATTATGGTTATTTTCTCTAAGCGTAGATCCTGATACCGCTAAACCGAAGGCATGGTGGAAAAACAGAAAGATCAGGATGAATCTTTGTCAGATATATCATTCAGAAGGAATGCTTGAGGACTTCGCCAATACAGCACTGCAGTTGGTTCTTAAGTGGGTGTGGCGGCGGACGGTAATATCCCTATATCTAAGTGTTTTGGGATGCATTCTCATATAACAAATGCAAACGAAATTTTGAACATAACTACGGCTTCTTGAAGAAGAGCTACTTGGATCCACCTGAACATTTAGCATTTTGTCAGGGTTTTTTCTTAAAAAGTTATTTTGTATTCTGGACTTACTTTGTATTTGCATTCGCCTGATGTAAAACTTAGGTTAAGGGGAAAAGAAAACGATTGGTTCTTTCAGAACATCAAAGAAACAAAAAACGCCGACGTCCTAGAGATCCTCAATCTTCCCAGTAAGTATAACATATATCCACCATAATCTTTTAAGCCTTGTCATTCCTGTCTGCACATTATTATTAACATTTCTGATGGAACATGTTGAGCAAGGTTGAGAGGCGGACCGAAAAAGTGGCGCAAAATCAGGGCAACATTAAATGAAACAAGAAGAATTAGAGAACGAGCTGCTATTAAAGCTCATAACGAAGATATCTGCAGTGAATCTGAGGTAACTATCAATGTGCATACAATTTCACCTTCCCATGTTGCCTGATAAAAGCTTGTACCAGAAGACTTTTGTGTTTCAAGTTACATATTGTGGGTGACAGCCTTGACTGTTTTGTAATTGGTTTATACCATTATATTGCCGATTTTGACCTCTTTGTTTGAAATATAAAATACGTTTGTCTTTTAACTGGGCTTATACTTTGACTTTTGAACTCAGGAAGAAGCTATCAAGGATGAAGAGTATCACCGTCTTTTCGTTGATGTAATTAACTGTTCTCTTTTACAATTATTTAGTATATTAAATGTCGTTGCTTTTACATACTTTTATTCTTGCTTATGACCGTATAGCTTTCTTGATATCATCCTGCTTTATGTTTTTCTTGACTCCTAAAGTTACATGTCTTGTAGTTGTGCAAAGCATTGGCATCCCTGCAAAGATACTGGGAAGCTCTGGAGATAGTTAATCTCGCTCGGAGATTGGATGCTAAAATGCTGCCTGTTGAGAAAAAAAAGGAGCTTCAGTCACTTGGAGCTAGTGATTACCTAACACAATCTTGATAAATCATGTCTTTTAGATCTTACAGCTGGGTTAACCTGTCTCTAACACCCCTTTCTTCTTTTAATATTTACAGAAATATCATGTGATACAATGGATCCAAAGCAGTGGTTTGACTGTGTAAGATCTGTCATCCAGCAACATCCATATCGTTTGAATGCCTGGAACTGCTATTACAGAGTCATTTCAAGGTAGAGAGCGGCTTTTCACTTGGAAAGTAATGTGAGCATATTTTGTTTACGACTTTACTGTATGAATATCATATTATTGTGTGCAGATTAGGGAAAAGAGCATCAACTGAAGCTAAGTTCATGCATCATCTAAGGAGTAAGTACAGAGATTGTGTACCGCCCATTCTAATTGCTGGTCATCACTTCACCGTGACAAGCCGACATCAAGATGCTGCAAGAGAATACCTTGAAGCATATAAACTTATGCCTGATAGTCCTTTAATTAACCTCTGTGTGGGTAAGTGTATATTCATATTTTTCTCTTTGACTTTTCTAAAATTTCCAAAATTAGCTAAATTAAAGGTTACCTCTCTTTGGTACTTTTCAGGAGCTGCTTTAATCAACTTAGCCCTTGGTTTTCGACTCAAAAACCGACATGAGTGTCTAGCTCAAGGCTTTGCATTTCTGTACAACAATCTCAGAATCTGCAGTAACAGTCAGGAGGCATTGTATAACGTTGCTCGAGCGTATCAGCACGTAGGACTAGTGACTCTTGCAGCTTCATACTACGAGAAGGTTTTAGCGATTTGTGAGAAAGAATACCCAATGCCGAAACTTCCTAACGAGGATCCGAATGTTGCAGAAGAGAGGAAGCCTGTGAACTGTGACCTACGCAAAGAAGCTGCACACAATCTGCATTTGATCTATAAGCACAGTGGAGCGTTTGATCTCGCGAGGCAAGTTTTGAAGGATCACTGCACTTTCTGAGTCTCGTTATCATTGCCTTTTTTTTTTCTTCAAACAAAGATAAATCATAGGAATCAAACTGATATATACATCTTTGTTTCCAACTGATTTAAAGAGAAAAAAGTTTGTTTTCACTGAGTTTCTTTGGCTCACAAAACTTGATCTGAATATTGCACTTCGACGATCTAGGAGCCATTAGCAGATCTTTGCTGACTCTTCCTTCTCATTTACTTTAGGCTTTCCACTTTTTACTCCATATGATAATTAATCGACTTATCAATGTCAAAAATGCAACAATAAAATGAAAATGAAATGCAAAAGATAATTGTTGTATGGACCGGCTCTATTTGGTTTTTTTCGTATTTTAAGGAAATGAAACTAAATCAATTGGAGTCATTCAATTCGGACTGAAACGATTAATGTATAATGTATGTCGGAACAAAGAAAATGGTAGAATCAAAACTGGGCGATTAAGATCACCAAAATAGAGAGATAACAACTATTTGTTCTTAACAGAAAGCAAAGATGTTCTTCTCAGAAGTGATCATTCTCTTTGCGGAAGCAGAGCCAACGATCCTTTCCAGCTGCAATTAACATCACAGTGGTCCACATAAGAACACTTGCCATTAAAACTTAAATATATCATTACTATGTACCTAGTTTGAGTTAAGTTAAGCTAGCCTTTAAACAAATCTAATAGTGTATATCTGAGGAAACATCAAGAGGTTGAAAATGGAATTGTATAAGTACCTCCAGCAGATCAAAACGAGAAAAAAGTGCAGTGGCCATCATGTCATGTGATCCTTCTTCAAGCATGTTCATTATCTGCACTTAAAGCTAAACTGATGAGATCCGACTGTCTTTCTCCTGATAAGAGTTGTGTAGCAATTAATTCGACTAAGAAGCTCTTACCTGAGGGTAAAACTCCTTACGCTCTGGAAGAGAATATAAGATTAAGTTCTTTATACCACGGATCTGCAACCCGACAAACCAACATCATCATATAGTTGACAAACTGGTCAGAATACAAATTTCATCATAGAACATAATAAAACAAAGATAAAGTTGAGAAGAAGAAAGAAAAAAACCTTGTATCTCCGATAAAAGTATGCTCTCTCAGTGTAAAGCATGATCTTTCGGCTCCCTACAAAAAACCGTTCTCGTGCACGGGATATATCCGCATTTTTTGCATATCTAGAAAACAGGATTCACGATTAACTACTATCAGATGAAAGAAAACCAGATAGCGGAGAAGCAGCAGCTTCAAAACAGGGAAGATGATCTCACTCTCCAAGAAGACAGAAAGAGGCATTCTGTGACTTCAAAAAGTTTCTAAGCCTGACGAACTCAAAGAAAGAATGGATAAAGATCATTACTCCTCCCTGCAAGCATGATTAGAATACAACAATCAATCTCCCAAATTTACGTGATAACAACAAGATTTTTATCTGGCCAAATCTGATGTTAGACATTCTATATGTTTTATGTCAACTTAAAGTATGGGCAGCAAGATTGTTTAGCATTGGAATGATGGGAGTACCTGAACAGAATCTTTAATTTTTGGGAAAATCTGTAATCAAAAGAAGAACAAAATCAGTAAATATTGTGTTTAGCATTAAACATTAATTAAAAAGTGTAATACTGTATAAGCAATGACCCTACTTACAGTGGTATACGAACAAAGAAATGCAATAATGCACAATCTCATCCTTCACATATTTTATTCATGAAAGCTAGTTATACTACATAAGCAAAGCCACAAAACAAATTTAAAAAAGACCTTTTTGGTAAAATGTTCAAGACGTGCATCATCAACTTGGGATATGGAGTCTGCATCAAATCTTTCATAAATCTGCAACACAAACAGAGAGATAAGATGTCTAGAACTTTTATTGCCTAAGCAAGATAACCTTTTATACCTGACGAACAGGGAGCAACACTTTCTGAAGAACACCCTTGTATTCACACGCCAGCTTCATCTGCATAGATTCAAGCAAAAACATTATACAATTTTTATTCAAAACTAATAATAAAGAATAGATAATTAAAATCTACAATCTTGGTATGGGAGACATATAATAGTTCAGTTCATAACATAAACAAGAAAAAAAAGCACCTGATATGCTAGCAAGATATAAGGATAATGTGCTAAAAACGAATGCCCACCTTTCCTTCATAGTTCAAGCAAAGGCGATTGAATAGAGAATTGATCTCTGAAACAGAATATTATATGGGTTAGTAAGAGTCTGGAAACTCCACCATAAATAAGGGTTATGAAAATATAGGAAAACGAAGAACAAATTTAACCATAGGTGAAACCAAGAGGGCAGATCAACACCTGGGGTTAAATAAGAACTAAGAATTATTGACTGCCGATAGAACCGTGCATGCCCATCCAGATACCTGAATATACAAGAACATTTATTAAGAAAATCTGACATTGAAGGCTATTGGACACTAAAACATGAGAAAATAACTTGAAGTCAGGAGAAATTCGTACAAAGGCCTAATTCGCATGACATTGGTACCATGTGGTTTTGATGGCAATCTATTTAAGTGGTCAACAACTGTAACAAGGAACGACCAATTCTGAAACATAATAATAAAGAATATAAGAAATGGAGGCATGATATATTTCCATCTTTGAAAACTTTATAAACTGACCCCACAACGTACCTGCATAGAGATTATGTCTGCATGATCAATAACCAAAACCTATCATAAGTCAATGAGAGAAATATTAGTAAGTAAGTTCAATACGGAGATTCAGAATACAGCTTCAGATATTTGCAACGACATGCAGCAATGGACCAGGTTTACAAGATAAAGCAATGGCAGACTAATGTAACTGAACATTGTTGGCATCAACGTCTGCTATCTACTGTATATCTTCTGCCGGCAATGATAAACAAAAGTACCTCTATGGAGGAAAGATAATCAACATCCCGTTCCTTATTTTCTTCTGCTTGACCAATGGCCTAACAAGAGTAAATTAATAAGCGACTAATTGAAGAAGTTACATAACTGAATCATCTTACAAAAGGATAGATAAACGGCCTACCATTTGTAACTTGAGAGGGGAAGCAATAATAATGTCTGAGGAATAGAAATCACCATACAGCCTAATGCTCTTCCTGGAATTGATAAGAGGATTCAAATATCAGCACAACGACCAAGTGATATACAAATAGAAAGCATATACTGCAACTTAAAAGAGAATGTAGGCTAAATAATATACCTTGTATGCTTAATGCCTAACATAAACTCATCGTCGTTGTTACTGGTACCAAAAAGGGCTTGCCAATCAGAAGGTTTTGAAGACTTTTGTGTTATGGAGTTTTCATTTTTGGATGAATTATTTTCCTCATCACCATCAACAGTACCCTCTTCACTTCCAAACTCATTATTAAACCGGTCAAGGTGTTCTACAGTACCCTGAAACCAATGAATGATATTGAAAAGAGTACAGGCACCTCAAGACATTATCAAGAACATACAATATTAATGCAGAAAACTCTACATTCACCCCATATGCCGGAAGAAAAAAACACACACACACACACACACACAGACACAATTCTTCCTACATCATTTGTCGTAATCAAATTAAAGAATTTGCGCATCCACGAGATGTTGAGTAGTAAAGGCAACAGTCACAAAGCAGATGTCAATTGAAAATTTGATGAGAGGATTATAAATTATATACCCTTTGAGATTCTGGAGTTAGTTGTATGAGCCTCTTAACAACACGAAAGGCGATGCTCCTCAAAGGTAATAAAATCAGTACCTGGGATTTACAATAAAGATAAGACCAATTTTCACATGCAAGTAACATATTCAAACGTATCAATATTTTCAGAAAAACAGAAGGGGTCACCTTTGGACGAGTAAATCCTTGGTCCATAAATCCATCGTCAGAGAGAATTTCCTCTTCAGAGGTCTCTCGTTGCTTGGCAATTTTACTTTCATTCTTCTTTACAAGATCTCTAGTTTTAAAGATGTGATTCAACTGCACAAGACAAACTGACTTCAATAAATCCTGAAGAAATGCTAAGACAAATGGAAACCTCATAAATTATCTCAGAAAAAAAATACAAGTGTGCACACACAGAATGCATAAGGTATGCGTCCATGGCACTTGAGTCTTCTTCCGAGCCTTTATTGTAAAAGGGTTTCTTGTTAGAATGTAATATATCCATATAGCTGTTGCCTACAAAATTAAATACAATAATCAGTGATAGAGGGTTTCGTGATAGAACCATAAAAGAAACAGAAAGGATATAAAATAAAGTACAAAAGAATCCAGAAATAGGTGATTCCAAAAATCTAATACTTACAAATGGAGAAAAAATTTCTTCTCTTAGATGAGTCCAAATCTTTGCCTCCAGACTTCTTGTATAATTGAAGCCAGTGCTTCAATAACTTAGGCTTGAGGCCATAAGTTTTATCACTCTGAATACCCTGCAAAATAAAAAGAATTAGTACTAATACGTATTACTAGGTTGGGATGCAGCGATAATTATTTCCTGAGGCAGAGGTTTTGCAGAACACATACATCAAGGAAATTTTCACACGTTCCTTTCCATGTGCAATTTGGCATATCAAAGGCAGGTGACTCCCATTTAAACTTCCACTTGCCCTTTGGTAAAGTTTCCAATTCTTCACTAGATAATTTGTGGTTAAGGTGCTCACTAAATGCACTGAAAAACAAATGTATGGATGTATTGGATTAATGAGCACGTCTAAGGGTAAACGAACTTGTACAGAAAAAAAACATCTAAATTGACCTTACCTAATAGATGAAGAAGCATCCACAAAAGATTGGCCATTGGTGCTCAACTCATGCTCCTCATCCGTTTCACAGTCGTCGAAATCTTCTTCCTCGCTCTGATTATCATTGTTTCCCTGTGTACTGTCCTCAGAAAGACCTCTGAGAGTTTCCTGATCATCCCCTTTATTAAAGACAAAGAGAAGCATAGTTAAAAGCAAAAGGCTGAAAAAATAAGCAACTGTATTGCAAGAAAACTTAAGAACCAATAGGCGAGAGATGAGTAACTACAAATGAGTTGAAAAAATAATCAAATTTGTCTCAGGGCAATAGAAACTACAAATAATCTGCAATACTAGGTAAGAAAAAACTTACCTTGAATCTCATCATCCTCTCCATCAGAAGAGCTTAAATCCTCAGAGCCACTGTTATCCTCCTCTTCCTCATCTTCATCATCATCGTCTCCTTCTGTATCGCTTTTACCCTCCTCCTCTCTCTGCCTGTAAAAAAATTTGGAGATTCAAAAAAAATAAGAGTAGAGGACATGATAGTTTTAACAGAATAACATGAATGTAGAATCAAAATGCTATGACACTGTTCGTTCAGCCTACCAGTTCACAATGAAGCAATGGGATATAGCTGTAGGAACGATTCCAACTTAACATTTGTAACTTATTAAAAACAAAACGAAAAAAAAAAAAGTACCTTCTTTTATTCATATCAGCAACAAGCTTGTTAGATGAACCAAGAGATGCCAACAAATTATCGTACTGTGTCGGTTCTCTGTAAACCACTGCTTCGGATTCAGTCTCAATGGAGTCTTCTTTAGGTGAATCTAACGATACAATTACCCACAAAAAAAAAACGAGTTTTAAATATTTTGTTAGTATAACAACGAAATTGAGCTCAGTTGCAGAAACAAAGCAAGAGAGCAAAACAAAACCTGAATCATCAACTGAAGGATTGGAAACAGCCTCATTGGCAACACGTTTGTGCTTCTTCGCATCCCGTTTCTTATCAAATTTCTCATGTGACTTGTGCCTCTTCATCACTTTGGCAGAGTTTGGAGCCATCTCTACCAGAAACAAAAAGAGAGATTACGGAGGATGTTAGGGGTGGTGGGTGAGCCGCAACTTTTAAACTTCAAAAGGGTTTAGGGTTTATTGATACTTTTCGTTTTCGTCTAAACTTGGTCTGATTTTGATTTTGATAAACCCTGAGAATTACAGAGCTGGATTCTGATTTTTTAGTATCTCGGTTTTTTCACAATGTTTTTTATTTTATTTTCGTTAACACACTTGCCGAAGCTCACGACAAGTGATCGAACCGGAGTACGAACCCGCTACAACGAAGACCTACTAGTTGTAACGACATATATTAAAAGCATGTGGACTCACTATTTTATTATTGGGCTTCAAAAAGAAAAACAGCCCAACATTATAATTGAGCCCAGATTGAGTATAGGATTATCGACATGTCACCATCATCAAGAGATACGTATAAACTTCATCAAGGATTTTACAGTACAAAATAATTTTATGATGATTGTATTCATCATAGATACCACCATTACAACAAACACTATTATTATATCATTATCATCGATCCTTATACTATACCATCAACATATTATCACTACACCATGTCACCATCTGACCATGCATCACATATTCACATTTATAATATCACTGTCACTATATCGATCATCATACCATCAATGTCATTATACGATCATTGTTATCATATTATATATTATCATCATATTCGTAGTATTTCATGTTGGAGGAGTGGTGGGCTTAGACGAGCCATGTTCAAATGTTTCATTTGTTCAATAATGCAAGGAAAAAACATAACTCGATCGGCAAGTCTCATATCTTTGTGGTCTGGCCTTTCATGGCTTTTGCATTTTTCTCCTCGTTCTCTTGTTGCTATTACAGTCCCTCATCTGGCATCTTCTCACTGGGGGTGTCTGTCACCCATCTTTTCACTTTTACAATTTGGGACACAATGCCAACGTGGACTGCTGTTGCCTCCCGTGGCACCTTTCACCTCGTCGTTTTGCAACTTGATACACTTCTTTTTATCTTTTTATTGTAGTGGTTCTTCTACGAGTGTGTTATATATTACTTTTTGTTTCCCAACATTTTATTTTATATGTAGGAAAAAAAAATCAATCACGATAATTAGCATATGCCAATCCAATACAATTTACAATTTTGATCAATGGTAATGACGATAACATGTGCACCTTACGTTTTCTTTTTACATATAAAACCTCTCAGTTGTACAGCTTTTCTCTTCACTTATCACAATCACACTAGCAGCAAAATAATATCTCTCACGGCCATATCACACACAAAGGAGAAAATCACAATATGACAACATACGGCACAAATCCGACGTCGCCTAACGACTTAGCCCCCAAACTCGAGTACATCAGCCGCGGCAATAACGTAAGATCAGGCCTAGCCACGCGCCGCCCTTGGAAGCAAATGCTCGACCTCCGTTCATTCAGCTTCCCACGCAAACTAGCCACCGTGATCACCAGAGTCAAAGCCAACATCGTCTATTTCCAGACCAACTACACCATAGTCGTCTTCTTCTCCGTGTTCCTCAGTCTGGTCTGGAACCCCTTCTCCCTCCTAATCCTACTCGCCCTACTCGGCGCATGGCTCTTCCTCTACTTCCTTCGTGACGAACCGCTCGCTGTATTCGACCGCGAGATCGACCATCGTATTGTGCTCATAGTCATGTCGGTTCTCACTCTCTCGATCCTTTTCTTAACCGACGCTAAGCTCAATATCGCGGTGGCTATCGTGGCCGGTACGGCGGCTGTGTTGTCTCACGCAGCTGTTAGGAAAACTGAAGATTTGTATCAAAACGACGAAGAAACCAGTCTCTTGAACCCCTAAGAAAAATGATCGTTATTTCATTTGTTAGGCTCCCTCGCATTATGACTATGATTGTTTATTTGCGTGCGTTTAGGTTCGTTTGATTCAGTGTTATGAAATTAAATATTATAACCATGATTGCTTATTTGCATCTACATATGTGTTTCTACTTTCTACTTTATGAATATGGTGATGACTAAATAATATAACATGGAATCCAATAAGTACCTGGGTATATGTGATGATGTTAAAAGACTAAAAATAACAAAATCGTTCTACCGAATGTTCGTCATACTAAAATTTTTATTTTTGTTAAAAAATCTAGTCTCACTAAAACTTATGTGAAGTTAACTGTTCTAAAACCATGACCTTTGTAGTTTGTAGGTTTAACGTTTTGAAAACGAACTTTTTGTTGTATACAACAAAATCATTGTTGTATACCAATTTCACGGTTTAACGTTTTGAAAACGAACTTTTAATTTGCTCATTCAAATAATATTTATGCATTTACTATAATTATTCTGGAGTAGTATTTTATATTTATATGCCGAAGCTATGTATGTAGCGCCTCTAGGGTTTTAGCTGCTGGATCACAATAACGTTGAGATATACAGTATTCCACCATTGAAAACACAAGTTAAACACAAAGGACAAAGCTTTCGGAAGTAAAGGCCCTTTTAGGCTTCCAAAAGAAAACTCTTACAATCAGAGTCCAAAATATTTCAGCCTACATACATGCATGCATGAACCATTTCACCTCTTATATATATTTTTTTCTCGATTGCATAAAGAATATGTAATAATATATTCGAAGAAGAATAAAGAATCTTCAATTCTTTTTGTTCTTTGCATCAGTCATTTAACCAAATTTAGAGGAACTTGAAAGGCAAGAGGCACCATAGGTTCATGAACAATCCCAACAGATATCTTACGAATATCAGAGCTCAACATCTTCTCCTTCTCTTCTTCTTCTTCGTCTAGTGATATAATCTCGTTGATTATCTCCATTAGTATCTTCTCCATAGCTTCTCCGTCGGTCCAATCTCTAACCGTAGCCTTAACCAACATGGGATTTTGACTAATCAAATCCCAAACCGGAAAATCTTTCCTTGGCATCATGTAATCCATAGATTTGAGTCCAAGACTGGGACAGTAATCACCTGCACCATCTCCAAGATAGATCATCTTCGTCTTCTTCCCTTCTTTGGTTAGAGAAGCTTGAATCCTCTCGATTATCAAACCCTATGTAAAAAAAAAAAAAGACATTCAACTTAGAACTGGAAACAACTTGACTAAGCGTATACATTTGGTGATCATACAGAATCAAAGATAACATATATACACCAAAAATTATCCTAGCTTCCGTGGAACTAGATATGAAAAATATTGGCACCATCACTTTTTTTCTTTTATTCTTCCTTTCTCAAATATCAAAAATTCAGAATTAATCAAATCAAATCTATAAGAAATGATAATGGAATGAAGTGTAACAACAGTACCTTGCACATGTTAGGAGGGCAACGAGTGCAACCATGGGGAGATTTGGTGAAGTCATGGTAAGGAGAGATGATCAATCTACATTGATCATCTACAAGTCCTGGATTCGTGTTGACCTCTGAGAAAAACTCTCTAATCCCGAGATGTTCGATGATCGTTTCGATGAATAACGTGTTAGCATCGCTCACTATCCTCAGCTCGCACCTGAAAATGTCGACCGGATGGTTTAGTACCGTGTCTTTTATTTTAATCAGAGAAGAAGATTAATAAATGGATGTTTACCCTAAAGCATGAGCTGCTTTGATGGCAGGGATTACACGAGGATGAATAGGGATCCTCCTAAGGACGTGTTTGATTTCTTCAATGGTTTTGCCATGCTCATGAAGCTCCTTCATCATACGGTTCTGCCATGTAATAAAACCAAATGAGGATTTAATATTTTCGATGAAGAAAGAACTAAAAGAAAAAACGTTTTGAGAAAACGAAACAAAGAGTATGAACAAACACGTACCATGAGAGAGTTCCAAGGCATCGTAGGAAGAAGCTGGTTGAACAAATCAGTGAAACCAAGTTCATCGACCACCCAGTTATCGCTGTCTACATCGATGATTGTCTTGTCGAAATCGAAGACGATCACAATATTGTTCTTGCTAGCCATTGTATTGTGATCTGAATCTTTTGTTGTTTGTTTTTTTTTTTCTTTTCCGATTTATGTGTCTGTAAATATGGAATATGGAGAAGAAGAATGGGATGTATATATATGAGTGGAAGAAGGTGAAGAGGAGAGAGGCGAATAGGGATTTTCCTAGGAAGATGCCATTGGAATATTACTTCAGACTCAAGGTGAAGAAGAATGAGAATCCACCTGTAATCTGATATGATACGTGTTTTTTTAAGCCGTTGGATCTGATGACGTTTTAAGAGTGTCAATATGTATTGAATTGAATAGGTATGGTGATCCGACGGTGTTGACGTCTCTTGGGTTTATTTTGTGGGTATTATTTGTTTTATTTTTAGTTTGGCTTGTTTTATATATAAGCATTTTTTTAGTGGGATTTAGGTAGTTGAGAAGACACGAGAAAAGGAATGAGATCAAAGAATATTCCACCTATTCATCCGCTTTTCTATATTTTCCTTCTCTTTATTAAAACGAAAATAAAAATTCGTTAGCCAAATTTCTTTTTTCATTTTAAAGACTCGACCCAAAAAAAAAGAAAAAAATTGCAACGAATATATTGTTTACATATGGATTAGTTTTTTATTTGTATTATACTGATATTAAATTAGAATGAAAAAAAAAAATATAAATGTGCATGGGATAGTTGCTTTATCGATTAAGTCACACACTTAAAAGTTAATACCACAAAATTCATACTTGGTTGGATTAACCTTTTTTTTTTTGGTGAGGACTTGGTTGGATTAACCTTAAAACAAAGAATCAATCATAATGCATGTATGTGGGCATGCATGTGGGAATTGCATAGGAAAGCACTAGCGAGGAAGGTTGGGGGAGGGGATATTGAGTGACAAATCTAAGCCAAAAGAATATTCTAAAGGGGTTAAGGATCGTCATCTTTTCTTTGGTGGCCACATCTTTCGATATGTGTATCCGTCTGTATTACATTTCTTCAATAACAATTTACAAGTATTCTAACCAAACAAGTCTTAACACGACAGCAAAAACAATGTGTGCGTAATCCTCTATCCGCATAAAATAAATACATATCTATCTTTCAGACGTTATCAGCATATCCGCATTTTTTTTTACAAGAAAACAAGTTTCTTTTTATTCCTCTTACTCATGTCTTCAGGTGATCAATTAATATTACAATATAGAAAATATGTAAATAATTTATACGTTTTAGTTGTAGATATGTAGTCATGTAGAACATCCATAAGAGGGATGACTCATTTCACTACATCCAGTAGTTGAATGGTTTCATTTTTCTTCTGCAGAAATCAAATCAATTACGTCTGTTTCACTCTATAATCCTGTTGAGGTAGGGTTACTTTTTTTTTTTCTATCGCATCCTTTAGTTTAAACCACTCTAGTAGATGATAACATAAGTTGCATTGCAACCTGTAGTAGTCAACGATGATACTGCAACTGGATCCATGAGGAATTGAGGAGATAGCTCCTCCTTTTATTGAGGGTAAAAGTTAAAAAAAAAAACACAAAAGGAGTGTCTGAAAATACAATTGGAAAAATAGACAAATAGCAAAAGCCATGTGTGGTGTTTAGTTCAAAGAAGAAGAAGAAGATATGACAAAAGAATCAATAAACAAATTTGAAGCACATCCCTCCCAATCGTCTCATACTAAAAACAATAATCCCACACACCATAAGCTGTTTCTTAAGAGGAAGAAAAAAAAAAAGAGAGAGTAATAGAATCGAAACTAAATAAAAAATCAAAATAAAATTATCCTTCTGCAACCCAAAAAAAGACAACCTACGTAGGAGGGGGTGGTTCGGATATATCAGATATTACCCTTCTTCTGGTAAAAAAAAGAGGTCTCTTCTTCTTTTCTTTCCCAACCCAACAATTTACTTTCTAACTCCCTGAGAGATTACTGTTGCTTCTTTCGTGGACTCCGTCCCAGTGACTGGTCAGGGTTTTGGTCTTTGTCACAGCATAACTCTGTTACTACTACACCTTTTCTGGTTACATCATGACTTTGGTAGTTAAAAGAGAGAAAAAGAAAGAGAAAGGTAAAGAGAGAGCCTGAAAAAGTAGAAAGGGGTAAGTTAATTTGGAGCAAGCTGATTCCATGTTTTTGTCTTCTCTCTTTCTCTCTCCAAATCATGCATAGTACATGTACAAGCTGTTTGCTGCTGCACAAGCAATTGAGTTTTCTGTTGGGTGCCAAGCCATATGAAGCAACTTAGTTGTGAAATCATATGCGTTCCCGTTTGCCTCTGTTCCGGGACTCTCTGATCCTGCGTCCAAACGCACAAGTTTTTACCCCACAAGAAAATAGTACAAGTTGAAGAAGGTTTTGCAGTTACTACCACCATACTAACCTCGTCTAACCACACGTGTCATACTGCCAATCGATCTGGAAGGTCTTGCAGGTGTCTGGATTTGCCTCCTAATATAAGACCATTGGTACAAAAGTTTTTGCAATTAATTAATTCAAACTTCTATGACTTAAGGTAAACTATCCATGTTCTCTGTTTCCTGATTTACCTCATCGGGTTTTTGCTAGCTTCCAAAGTTGCAGCTTCAGTACTTCCTTGAGACGCTCCAAATACGCGGAATAGATTGCTGGTTCACCAGGAAATTAAGCTTTAATAAATTTGGCCATTTTCTCATCTCTTATACAAGATAGAAAAGTATAGTAGTGACCAATAGACAAGCAGCAAACCTGTAAGAACCTGTTGCTACCCTCAATCCATCGCCACTCAGGCAACACTCGAATTTATCAAAGATGGAATCGTTTTCATATAGATCGCATAGCTGCAACCAGGTGAAACATATTATGGTTAGTTTCCATGACAGAATAATCAAATAAGAGAAGCCACAGAAAGAAGCTCTCACCCTGGGTCTCAGATGTTCATGAACCTGGTAAGATGCGACTGGACCAGAATCCATGTTTATGTCCCACAGCTGAAACGTTGATAAGGGCAGAAGATATCAGAAAGAACTGAAGAATACACCTAAATTGACCAACAATCAGAAACCTATACACATGGGATTCGGATGCTTTCCAACCTTGAGCGTCATGTAATCGCGACTAAGTATGTATCTCCCATCTTTTGAAAATTTAATATCTGAAATTGAGGCAATTATCTCTGTGAAAAATGATCTTGAACCAGGTGCTTCTGGTTCTTCAAATCTGTGATATGAAGCAAGAATGGTCAGTGGTCAGAAACTTAACCCTAATAATCGTCACTTCCAAGTCATTTCTGACAAGATAAGAGAAATATTGGAAATAAACCTATTTATTACTTAGAACTGTACACAAGTTAAACACATATCAAAACCTGCTCATGTCCAGAAAAGGACTACCCTTTTCGATAAAGGTTAAGGAGAACAGAACTTACAATTTCGTATGAGAATCACAAAGAGCTGATTGCCGCATATCAATCAAACGGATGGAGCCTTTTGAACTACTATATGCGAGCATGTTACAATGGATAGGATGAAACTCAGCTGATGTAATTACCTCTGCAGTGACCATATGTAGCATTCAGAAGCATGCTCAACAAGTAGTAAACGTGAAAAGAATAAATATTCAAAGTAAAGAAGTTCTTGACGTATGAATAATGTTGAGACCCATATAAAATAACTTCTAACAGCATACCAGTTAGGTCCTCCATGTTTGTGGGCTTAACATCAACAATATTGAAACTCTGGTTGCTGATTTCCAAATTCCAGAGATTTACTCGCAGATCATCAGCCGAAATAAAGGTTTCTCCATCGCTAAGAAAATTAGGGCAACAATACATTATTGAAAAGAACAAAACAATGCAATACATTCTGAAATCTAAGTAAAACATATAACCTAAGAGAAAACTTAGCAAAACGATTACCTGCTATTTGAGATTGAATTAATATGGTAATCATGAGCATGGGCATACACTCTTCGGCATCTAGCCACAAGGTTGGTCTCCTGGCTAGTAACCTAAATATGCAGAAAGACTCGTTATAAAGACTCATTATTTCAAGCAAGTACTGACTAATGCGTGACACTAAGTTTGTACTTAGCTTTAGCTACGACAAAACAAACAAGGCTACAAGTAAATTCCCTACGTAACATAATTCCAGTGGCAGAATCATCAACATGACAAAAATATCCACAATTTCCAGTAATGTAGTATACAGGCTTAATATTTATATGCAAATTTTACCACCATATGAAACTTATGACATTCTGATGTTCGTTATGCTATGAAGCACTTCAACTGACAGCCAAAAAATAAAAGAAGAAAATATTGCATTGAGTACAACTACCACAGGTAAACGCAGAGATGGAATGCCTCCTGGCGGGAAAGAAAAGTCATTGCTCAGGTAGCCATGTGCTTTATCGGCAGGTAAACCATTAGCAACTAATTGAGGAGGGCTACTTGAACTCTCTGCTTTCGATGGATCAATATTCATTTCACTAATTTTCTTGATCTTCTTCTCTTGTACCTGTTTGATCCCAGTTGAGTGAGGAGTCAAATTATAAGAGTAAATAAACAAAAACTATTTCTCTTCATAAAAAACAGTTTCGACAGGACACTATATATCACTACACCATAAAGCATATGATACTAGATTACGGAATTGACTTAGACAGAAAGGAATTGCTATAAATGTCCATCTCGACGTCGCACCTTCCAATATTTGATGGTTTTATCGTTTGTGGAAAGCAGAAACAATGCACCATTCGCAGGCTGACACCATCTGATTTTGTTGATTTTCTCCTCTATCTCCAAACTCTTGAGATAGTCAAACTAAAACAAATTGAAACGCAACGTTATTGTATAGCACAAGGAACATAATTTCTCGTACGTAATATATAGTGATAAGTTATAATGTACCTCTGGTTCATGACTCTGAAATTCTGTTTTATATCGAAACTCAGGATGCCTAATTGCATAATCGTTCTGCTCAAGATCCCTCCTGGACCCTCCATGCTGGAAAGTAACATTGCAGAAGAATGCATTACAGCATTTTTCAAGAAAATTGAAATAAATCTTGAAGAAGAAGAAGGGAACTCACATCTCTAGTATCCGTCCTCTCAAAAAGAACTACTCGGCCGCCACGGTCACCAGTTGCAAGATGGTCTCCACTTTTATCAAATTCGATGGCTGAAATGATGTCAACTGCGCGGAAGAAATCGTGCAAACAGAATTGTTACATCAGAAGTCACAACTAAGTAGTAGGAGCTAGATGCATAATAACCTTGAAATGCAGCTAGTATATTCTTCCCAATAACATAGAGAACGTAAACTGGTAAAGAAGACTACATCCGCTAACATGAGAGCAGATTAAATTTATCTCATATGGAAAGTGCTTGTGAAGACAACCTAGTTACATCAGTACTCCCTGAATACCCATCAGCCAAAAGTGAGAGCTATAGACCAAAGGCAATATTACAAATCCAATTCATGAACCAAAAACGCATGACCACTGATAACACTGCACACTTGTCGCTCAACAGCACAATTACTCAGGTGCTTTTCTTAGCTGTTTTTCAGAGTTGAGATTCTACCAGTGGATACAGTATCCATGGGTATGGGCATTGAACAGACAAAAGCTTCAAGCTAGATTACACTCTTAATCTCAACTTAAAACTATAATTAACATATAAAAACGATTCAGATCAACAAAAGAGCTGAAAGCTTGTTGAAAACTGAGAGCATCCAACTTGACAATAATGACTTAAAAAGGAATGGACATGCTCTGATATCACAATCCCCAAGAATCCAAATGTCATAGAACTTAGAAGCCCTACTAACAGTGCAATCGAAGTCACAGAGATTTCATCAACGGCTCACTCAGCAGTAGAGAATAATAACTCACTAATCTCTACCATCCAAATCAGATCCAAACCACAAATCAAAACCTTAACTTCTCAAATACCCTCCGGATCTAAAATAATTAAAAAGAGAGAACCAAACTCATCACCCCCGGATACAATTGGCAATCTAGTTATCAGGCGTAGGCAATAATTACCTTCCTGGACTTCTTCTCCGGCGGTTCGCTCGCCGAAGACCTGAGAGAATCTCCACTCTAAAGACGGAGGAGGACCACTAGTAGCAGCGGAGGAAGAGGCGACGTCACCCCCGTTCATTTTATCTTCCGAGTTATATAATCCAACAAAGATGGCTACAGAAAGAAAGAAAAAAATTCGAGCTTGAAATCTGAGCTTCGAAATCTTAATCGCCGAATCGAATCGAAGATCGCGACATCACCATAAACAAACCCCTTGATTCACATTCCATTCCATAGTTTTATTCATGGATTTTTTTTTTTCTCGCGATTGAAGCAACTTTGATCGATGATTATATTTCTCTCTCTATAGAAAAAATGGAATTTTGATATATATCTCTCTCTCTGTAGAAAATGGTGGAACGATAGAAGAAAAAACGCCTTCTCCTTTTTCTCTCTCTAAAAGGACAAAATTGTAATTACAGTTTAGTTTTTATTTTTTCTTTGGTTCCTTCGAGACCAAAACGAAGGAACAAATCGTATAAGTTAATGTCTAATACTATAATGTTTTTGTCCTGATTCTAAAGTATCATTAGAGTTACAGGCGGTGTTATTATTTATTTGACCAGTAAATATCAGTGGACGGTGACGCTTGTTTTGGCACACCATTGGTCAGTGGTGGAGGTGCCACTGTTATATGATGGGGGCAAATGTATAAATATCATTAGTGGTACTAAATCATTATTTTTTCTGCCAAATGATCCTAAATAGAATTCCATTGCACATTGTTTTCTTTCTGCAAGAACCTTATGATTAAAAAAAAGTATTTAGACCATTTAACTTAACAAAAATAGTTTTCTCTCATGATATATTTTAGTTAACTTCCATATGTAAGAAGATTTTTAATCCAATTTTTTTCTTTTTTGGGCAAGATTAACGCCTGAGTTTGTAATTTGAAACCTAAACCGGATATAACCGAATAATTGAACCGGTATGTCCAATTAAACAATCATCCTCGTTTGAAAAGTTAGTAACATTCCTAATTTCTTCTTCTTCTTCTATCTATCTGCGGAAGAAACACGCTTGAGAGAGAGAGAGATCTTTTCCCAAATCCGAAGAACCCTAAAAATTTCCGATCTGGTAATTTCTGCCGATTGAATCAAGAAGCGGTTTCTAGGTAACTGATCGATAATGGGTAATACCGACAAGCTGATGAACCAAATCTTTGATTTGAAATTTACGTCCAAGTCTCTGCAGAGGCAAGCGAGGAAGTGTGAGAAAGAGGAGAAGTCGGAGAAGCTCAAGGTGAAGAAAGCCATTGAGAAAGGTAACATGGATGGTGCTCGGATCTATGCTGAGAACGCTATACGCAAGCGCAGCGAGCAGATGAACTACCTTCGTCTCTCCTCTCGCTTGGACGCTGTTGTAGCTCGCCTTGATACACAGGCCAAGATGGCCACCATCACCAAATCGATGACTAACATCGTCAAATCCCTTGAATCTTCGCTTGCCACCGGTATTTCACATTCACACTATCCATTCAAATTCTTCTCCTTCGATCCAATTAACTCACATTTTTTGTTTTCCCATCTGTTTGGCTTTGTGGTGCTCGTAGCATCATACTGTATAGATGCAGGGAAAAATTCTATGATTTGTTGTTGTTTTTGCTTATTGAAGGATTTGTTTTAATGAATGTTAGAATGGCTTGTGTTGAAGTAGCAAACACCATGGTTCAGAGCTTATTTGTTAAGTGTTAGGTTATGTCAAGGTGGTTTAGATTTGGAAAGGTTGTTTAGGTTATGTCAAGGAAGAGATTGCTCTGTATTAGTATAGAGGGAGAAGAAAATAGGCTTAGTTACATATTTTAGACTTGAGTGATGATTCATTTTACTGCGGCAACTCATGTTCTCATCTTCGGATACGTTCTTTGCAACAGGCAACTTACAGAAGATGTCAGAGACCATGGACTCGTTTGAGAAACAGTTTGTGAACATGGAAGTCCAAGCTGAGTTCATGGAGAACGCAATGGCTGGCTCTACTTCATTGTCGACTCCAGAAGGAGAAGTTAACAGCTTGATGCAGCAAGTAGCAGATGATTACGGTCTTGAAGTTTCTGTTGGACTGCCTCAGCCTGCTGGTCATGCCATTCCTACCAAGACTGAAGAGAAAGTTGAGGAGGATGATTTATCCAGGAGACTCGCTGAGCTTAAAGCCAGAGGATGATCAACGAACCTAACCAAAAAAAAATGTGTTCGGAAACTACTTTTATCGAGATGCTGATACTATTAATCCTATGAACAATGTTTGTGTAAATCGCTCACTTTTGTTTATATAAAACCTTCTGTGCTTTTACAATGATATTAGAGCATAGCATGTTTTGCTTCTACACTACTCTACTACTTCGCACTTCAGGTTTTTCCAGCATTTTTGCTTTTGTTGCAAGAGCAGGAGTTAACTTCCGTAGATATTGAACACTTCATGGTTTAGCAAAAGGACTTTCCATTAACCAATTGATATTTTCGTGTGTTGATTACCCTTGATGATCTCTCTGGTAGTGCCGTCACCAATAATTCCAGGTCCATAAGGATTATGATTGTTAAATAAAGGATGGAAGAGCCTGTGAGGGTGTTGGGGAGGCAACAAGTGAAAAGAAGCTCTCGAGTTTCCGCAATAATGCTAGAAGGAAGGTCCTTGAGGCAGAGTTTTATGCTGGTTCTTGAATGTTATGGAGTTTGCGTTTGGATTTACAAATGGTGTTTAGGGTATGCTGTGGGTTTGTGTTTGAACGGATGATGTTGCAGACAGCAGCTTGGTGGGAAAAGGATTTGGAAGTTGAGGTGAGGTATCATCTGAAGTGATTGGCTTAGTCGAATCATTCAAAGTTCTGATAATTAGTCTCTCATAGTCTCATGTCATGTTTTCTTTATTGCAAGGTGCAAGGTCTTGTATAAACTAATTTTGGTGTATTAATACATGGAAAAAAAAAAATAGAAAAGCTCGAATCTATTTGTTCTGCAAAAAAAAACATAAAGTTTTATGGCTAAAGAAGCTTTTGGAAACTCCATCATTTTAGTGGGAGAATCACAGAAAAGATTGGTCGTCAATTATTTCTTTTATTAATCAGGCAGGATGCACATGATGATTGATTATTAACCATAATATAATAATAATGTAGACGAAGACGACAATGTAATTTAGTGTTAAAATTTATATTAACTGTTATATTTTTCACGTGCTAAAACTATTTGATTGCAACACATACCATTAAAAAAATTGCGTCACCCTAATTTCAACGTAACATTTTTGCATTGCTATATAAGTATTTAAATGAATGTTTAATTTAAATATATGATATAGTTATTAAATAGACCATGATGCACCTAGACAAAATCGCCATACTCTGGGTGCATGTGCTTCTCTCATTTTATACACTTTTTTTTAACCAATCAAACAATTTAATGTAATTTTTGGTAGCCTACTAAATTAATGTGACTGCAATGTAAAAAGATTAAACTAAAACTTATCCATTACCCCTTGGAAGCTCTCTCTCTATCTATAACCACTTTATAGCCCTTCCTTCTTCACACACTCAGTCACATACTCACCAAACAGAGTAAAAAGCCACACATAAAAAAAGAAGAAGCAATCATGGCAATTTCATCTTCGTGTTCATCCACTAAAGCCGTCGTCAACTCACGGTGGACATCTCCGACACCGCAGCCCTCTTTTAGATTGGCCATCCTCCCAACCTTCCTCCACCGCCGTTACTCGACTAACGTCAAGTTAACGGCCACAAGCGCCGCCTTAAAAACCGTCGAGCAAACGACGTTAACAGAGGACAGTAATTTTTCCACCGCCGGATCTGATTATGATCAAGAAAATTCAACGTTTCCAAAGCCGAGGATCCTCGTCGCGGAGAAACTCGGAGAAGCCGGCGTGAATCTTCTCCGGGAATTCGGAGAGGTTGACTGCTCCTACGAGCTCTCACCGGAGGATCTGAAGAAGAAGGTGGCGGAGAGTGACGCTCTGATCGTGAGAAGCGGAACAAAAGTGACGAGGGAAGTGTTTGAGGCGGCGAAGGGGAAGTTGAAAGTGGTCGGAAGAGCCGGAGTCGGGATTGACAATGTTGATCTTCAAGCTGCAACGGAGCACGGATGCTTGGTGGTTAATGCTCCCACAGCTAATACAGTGGCTGCTGCCGAACATGGAATAGCTTTGCTTGCTTCTATGGCACGTAACGTCGCTCAGGCCGACGCTTCTATTAAAGCCGGTATGTTCCAAACTAAATCTCCATCGACTTGGCCATTCTTTAACGTTTTTACATATATAAAGAAGTTGATCATATGGACACTTTCTACACTAGATTCCTTATTTCTTTGATTGCCACGGAAAAAAAATATCTAACATGTTTTAGCGGCGAAAAGTTTTAGGAGATCTAGAGTCCAAAAAAATACTAAAACATAGTAGGAATTAATTGGTTTTGGTTAGGTGGTTTGATGATAATGAATACTAGTATTATGAAAGAATATTCTACTTCGTTTTGGTCATCTTGGTCCACTTGATGATCAGATTAGTGGGCGTTGGTCTAGTTTTGTAAATAGAAATTGAAGTTATGCAATAATATAATTGTAGCACGTAAGTAGCAATTTGTCGTCACTGTATAAATGAAAAGTCACATATGCATATTAATTAGTAGTAGAAATAAAAATTGTTTACGTAACTGTAGGCAAAATATCAAACTAAGACTATTCTCTTCTCATGATCGTATGTGTTTCTATAATATCTGGTTGAGAAATGGTTCATCCAAGCTAAGTAAGATGGAAATAAAACAAACGCCAAAATAAAAGAAGTGTCAAAGTAAAATTATGGTCCCCATGCACTGCAAGAAAATGAAGTTTTTGGGGCCATTTATTAGTAGTAATCACTAATCAAGATCTCTCTCTCTCACACACATTCATTTTACTTTCCTTCTCCAAGCCATTCATCATTCACCAACCACAGTACAGTACACACGTATTAATTATTGGACTTTCCTTTGTCGTTTAAGCATCACAAACATTTTGTTTTACAAGTATTTTCTCACAAAATCACGAATTCATGCTAACTTTTATCTCAAATTTTATATCTAATTGACCCATGCATCATGAATCACGAGTTCCACCCATTTTGGAATATGGAACATCATGGGGTCATGGCAACTAAAACTTTTGATACTCTCGTTATTATTTTATTACAGCTCTTTTCAAGTCACCTTCCTAAATTGATTCGGCGTCTAGTGCGTAGGGACATAATAAGAACTACAATAATACAGAGTTTAAAGGATACCTGAATACACAATATTCAAGTGGGTCATTTAAAAATAATCATATGAATTATTATTGATCATAACACTCAATTATTTGATTCTTGGTACTGTGCTAAGGTGGAATAGTCAGTCAAAGCATCAAGACATACACGATCGAGACATAAAGTGTATACATGAAAAATATGTCTATTTCATTCCGATGATCATCTTTATTAATGAGTACAAAGGAGGATCGAAGTCATATACGTACACATACAGATATTGCTAGGTTACTCTAGAGAGATTAATTACATAATCTAGTTTAAATAAATATAAGATAGTAACTTGATTCTCATAATTAGCCTCTTGTTGATGAAATCATATGTTGTGATATATCCTTAAAATTTTGATTTCCATAATAAAGTATTATTTTGAGTTGACTCCTCACCTCCGTCGAATTATATACCATAGTCGTTTTCTGAACGTTTAGAAACAATTTGAAAATATGCAGGAAAATGGGAGAGGAGCAAGTACGTGGGCGTATCACTCGTCGGAAAAACCTTGGCCGTGATGGGTTTCGGCAAAGTCGGGACGGAGGTGGCGAGACGAGCCAAAGGTTTAGGCATGAACGTTATCTCTCACGACCCTTACGCGCCAGCTGACAGAGCCAGAGCTCTCGGTGTCGATCTTGTCTCCTTCGATCAAGCTATTTCCACCGCCGATTTCGTCTCCTTACACATGCCTCTAACTCCCGCCACGAAGAAGGTCTTCAACGACGAAACCTTCTCTAAGATGAAGAAAGGTGTTCGTCTCATTAACGTCGCCAGAGGCGGTGTTATCGACGAGGACGCGCTCGTTAGAGCTCTCGATGCTGGGATCGTTGCTCAGGCAGCATTAGATGTGTTCTGTGAGGAACCACCGTCCAAAGACAGTAAACTTATTCAACATGAAAATGTTACTGTCACACCTCATCTCGGAGCTAGCACAAAAGAAGCTCAGGTTTAACTTCTTGATTTTTTTACTTGAGTTTCATCTCTCTACACCATCTCTTTTCGATTTCAAATGGTTCTTAATATTTATAGGAAGGTGTAGCCATTGAGATAGCAGAGGCGGTTGCAGGGGCACTGAAAGGAGAGCTTTCAGCTACTGCAGTCAATGCTCCAATGGTTGCTCCTGAGGTCTTATCTGAGTTGACTCCTTATATTGTCTTAGCTGAGAAGATTGGGAGGTTAGCTGTGCAGTTAGCATCTGGGGGTAAAGGAGTACAGTCCATCAGGGTTGTGTATCGGTCAGCTCGTGACAGAGATGATTTGGACACTAGACTACTCCGTGCGATGATCACAAAGGGAATCATTGAACCGATCTCAGATTCATATGTCAACCTGGTGAATGCTGATTTCATAGCTAAGCAAAAGGGTCTTCGTATCAGCGAGGAACGAATGGTGGTTGAGTCGTCACCAGAGTACCCTGTTGATTCTATCCAAGTTCAGATTCTGAATGTGGAATCGAATTTTGCTGGTGCTGTCTCTGATTCTGGAGATATAAGTATCGAAGGGAAGGTGAAGTACGGAGTACCGCATCTAACTTGCGTCGGATCATTTGCTGTGGATGTGAGCCTTGAAGGGAATCTGATACTATGCAGGCAAGTGGATCAACCAGGGATGATTGGACAGGTTGGTAACATACTTGGGGAGCAAAACGTGAATGTGAATTTCATGAGTGTTGGAAGAACAGTTGTGAGGAAACAAGCTATAATGGCAATAGGAGTTGATGAAGAACCAGACAACAAAACACTCGAGAGGATTGGAGGTGTCTCAGCGATTGAAGAGTTTGTGTTTCTGAAACTATAAAGTTTGATGTATGAGAATAAAACTATGACCCGGTTTAAGGTGTTTTATCCAGCTGTAGAGGCATTGTGAGTGAGCGTGAGTCTCTTGGTACCTTTTTATATTGTTCTTGATTTGCTTTCTAATGGTATGTCATGTTCGTTTTTGGGGCTAATGTCATGTTTCTCTTGTTTCTTGATGTCAAAGAAATGTGTGTGTTTAGGGTCTATAGATCATTTTATAGAATAAAACGTTGGATTTGAACATTTTGTTATCCGAGAATGGAAACTGAAATTGGATTGGCCTTTGGGCCTTTGGGAGTTTTAATCTTTAGGGTCTAGGTGGCCCTTGTATACATTTGACTAACAATGTGCAGTTTGCAAACCTCGTTGTAATCCAATGTGAAAAATCCATTGAAGTCATAATTTAATATTTTCAGCATTCTTTTGAAAAGAAAATAAAGAATTATACAAAAGAAATGAAACAAAACTAGAAAGTGATAGAAGACAGAACAAGGAAGGACCACTCTCTATGAATAAATGTAAACTCAAGTATAACCAACCATAGGGTTTGATCATGTATAGAAGTCCTTCTAATTGTTTAAGTTCGTTCATTTGGGACCTACGAAAGTGACGACCAACCAACTTTAAGAAATCGAAAATGGAGAGTTCAAAATGCAGCAACTTGTTAAAATGGACAAACGAATATCATTATTATAGAAACTTCTTGTAATATTCTTCGTTCGTTGGGACTTTTTGACTTCTTAATGCCATGTGCCCCGAATGGAATTAAAATAAAGGAATACCATAATAGTGTTAATTAATATGGCGCACATCGAATAATCGAGTGTTGTTGGTGGAATCAATTTAAAAAAAAAATTACAATAAAGACAAAATGATGAAATTTTATAATCATGAGAGAAACATAAAACTTTATATAAAAAAGAGAGGTAGATGATCTATAGACAATTACAAGTGGTTTTGAAGACTTTTAAATTCCGATGAGTGCTCCACTATCTTAAATTCTTAATACATAATCAACAGGATAAATCAACATTTTATCTTTAATATTATTAGTATTATTTTGACAACATTATTTGTCTGTGTTAATAAACTAGAAAATAGAAGCTAACAAAAAAACGTGGGAAATGGAGAAAAATAATTGAAAAAAATCGGAAAAGAAAGATGATGAGAGTCACCGAGTAAACACAAACACGAAACAACGTTGAAGTCGCTCGTTTGTACAGATAGGTTCACAATCTCTGACGAGTGAGCTAAAAAGTCGCCTTCTTTTTTGAGTGTTCTCCTTTTCAATCGTCTCCTAACTCTCATCCCTATCGTTTTTTTTTTAATAAATAATGCAATCGATTTCGGTAACCAAAGCCTTCAACAAATCAAGCTCTCTCCTTTTCTTTTCTTTCTTTTTTCCTCATTCTGGGTTCAGTGTTGAGTGTTGTTTCGAATTTGAGTTTCTAGGTACGTGTCTTTTCAGCTTTTAATTTCAGATGAGGAATCTCGGGTTAGTCGAAATTACTCTGCTTTGCTGTCTCTTTGTCTACTTCCGTGTAGATACTGTCTCTTGTTTAAACTCAGAGGGTTTGGCTTTACTCTCGCTTCTCGACCATTTTGATAAAGTCCCGCTTGAAGTTGCTTCGACGTGGAAGAACAACACCACTCCATGTGATAGCTGGTTTGGTGTCACTTGTGATCATTCTCGTAACGTCGAGACGCTAAATTTGTCTGGTTCTGGGGTTTCAGGCCAATTAGCTTCTGAAATCGGGGAGCTTAAGAGCTTGTTGATTCTGGATCTGAGTGATAACAGTTTCTCTGGTGTATTGCCTTCAAGTTTAGTAAACTGTACCTCACTTGAGTATTTGGATTTGTCTAGGAATGGGTTTTCCGGAGAAGTTCCAGATTTTTTTGGTAGCTTGAAGAATTTAAGGTTTCTCTATCTTGATCGTAATAATCTTCGTGGTCTGATTCCTGCAAGTGTTGGTGAATTGGAAGAGCTCGAAGAACTCGGGCTGTCTCATAATGAGTTGTCTGGTACCATTCCCGAGTCGATTGGGTACAAGTGCCGTAAGCTGAAATATCTGGCTTTGAACAAGAACAAGTTAAATGGTGTTTTACCCGAAAGTCTCAATCTACTTGAGAATCTTGGCGAATTATTTGTCAGTAACAACAGCCTTGGAGGGAGGATTCATTTCGGTTCTAGCAATTGCAAGAAGTTGGTGACTTTGGATCTGTCTTACAACGATTTCCAAGGTGGTGTTCCACCTGAAATTGGCAACTGTAGCAGCCTTCACTCTTTAGCCATTATCAAATGCAACTTAACAGGTACAATCCCATCATCCTTGGGTATGTTGAAAAAGGCTTGGTATATTGACCTTTCCGAGAATCGTCTCTCTGGGATCATCCCTCAAGACCTGGGGAACTGCAGCAGCTTGGAAACCTTAAAGCTGAACGACAACCAGCTCCAAGGCGTGATACCTCCTGCATTGGGTAACCTAAAGAAGCTACAAAGTCTGGAGCTTTTTGTGAATAAGCTGTCCGGTGAGATTCCTATTGGCATATGGAAGATTCAGAGTCTGACAGACATGGTCGTTTATAACAACACTCTCACTGGGGAATTACCAGTTGAAGTAGCTCAGCTGAAGCACCTTAGGAATCTTACGCTGTTTAACAACAACTTTTATGGAGAGATACCAATGAGTTTAGGCATGAATCAAAGCTTAGAGGAGGTGGACCTTTTTGGTAACCGTTTTACAGGGGAGATACCACCCCATATCTGCCATGGACAGAAGTTGAGAATTTTCGTCTTGGGCTCTAATCAGCTTCATGGTACGATACCAGCGTCTATTCGTCAGTGTAAGACCCTCAAGAGAGTCAGACTTGAAGAAAATATGCTTTCAGGTCTTCTTCCGGAATTTCCTGAGAGTCATAATCTTTCTTATGTGAACCTCAAAAGCAACAACTTTGAAGGATCCATCCCGGGCAGCTTGGGAAGCTGTAAGAATCTCCTGACCATTGACCTCTCTCGAAACAAACTCACGGGTCTGATACCTCCAGAACTGGGAAATTTGCAAAGCCTCGGACGCTTGAATCTTTCATATAATCATCTGGAAGGTCCTCTGCCATCCCAGCTATCAGGTTGTGCGAGAATGCTGTATTTTGACGTAGGGTCCAACTCATTGAATGGTTCTCTGCCATCGAGCTTCAGAAGCTGGAAAAGCTTGTCCACTTTAGTTCTCAGCGATAATAAATTTTTGGGAGCCATGCCACCGTTCTTGGCTGAGCTTGATCGCCTCTCAGATCTGCGGATAGCTCGAAATGCTTTTGGAGGTGAGATTCCTTCATCAGTTGGCTTGTTAAAGAGTTTACGCTATGGCTTAGACCTCAGTGGCAACGGCTTTATGGGTGAGATTCCAACCGCATTGGGGAATCTTATCAACCTCGAACGGCTCAACATATCCAACAACAAGTTGACAGGGTCTTTATCTGTTCTTCAAAGTCTTAAGTTTTTGGGTCAGGTTGACGTCTCGTATAATCAGTTCACTGGTCCAATACCGGCAAATCTGATATCAAATTCTTCAATGTTCTCTGGAAATCCAGACCTCTGCATTCAACCTCCTTACTCAGCAAGTGCCATTACCCGCGACAAGTTTAAATCTTGCAAAGGTCAAGCCAAACTTAGCACCTGGAAGATTGCCCTTATAGCAGCTGGGTCCTTTCTAGCCGTATTGGCTTTGCTTTTTGCTCTGGTTTTGGTTTTCCTCAGGTGCAAAAGAGGAGCCAAGACAGAAGATGCTAATGTACTCGCGGAGGAAGAAGGTCTGTCCTTGTTGCTGAACAAAGTTCTTGCAGCCACTGACAATCTAGATGATAAGTACATCATCGGAAGAGGAGCTCATGGAGTTGTTTACAGAGCCTCGTTAGGGTCAGGCGAAGAATACGCCGTGAAGAAACTCATCTTTGCGGAACACATACGCGCAAACCAAAATATGAAGAGGGAGATCGAAACAATCGGGCTAGTCAGACACAGAAATCTCATTCGGTTAGAAAGATTTTGGATGAGGAGAGAAGATGGCTTAATGCTGTATCAGTATATGCCCAATGGAAGCCTGCATGACGTTTTGCACAGAGGTAATCAAGGAGAAGCCATTCTTGACTGGTCTGCACGGTTTAACATATCCCTTGGGATTGCGCACGGACTGGCATATCTACACCATGATTGTTATCCACCAATCATTCACCGCGACATCAAACCAGAGAACATACTAATGGACTCGGATATGGAGCCTCACATTGGAGATTTCGGATTGGCTCGGATTTTAGATGACTCAACAGTTTCAACAGCCACCGTTACAGGCACAACTGGCTACATCGCACCAGGTACACTTCTCAGCATAACACTTTTGCAATTTGTTCACTGTTAGGTTATACATGCTCTGAACCTTTTTTCTATCAAGCAGAAAATGCTTACAAGACAGTGAGGAGCAAGGAATCAGATGTTTACAGTTATGGAGTTGTTTTGCTCGAGCTGGTTACAGGAAAGAGAGCACTAGACAGATCTTTCCCAGAGGATACCAATATCGTGAGCTGGGTCAGATCTATATTAAGCCGCTATGAAGATGACGATGATACTGCTGGTCCAATCGTTGATCCAACACTTGTAGATGAGCTTCTTGATACGAAGCTTAGGGAACAAGCAATACAAGTTACAGACATGGCTCTAAGGTGTACAGACAAGAGGCCGGAGAACAGACCATCCATGAGAGATGTGGTGAAAATTTTGACTGATTTGAAAGATTTTGTAAGAAGCACTTCAGGTTCAGATCAGTAGTAATACTAGTTTCGGATTTTGCATGTTCATAGTTGACTGTCCTTTGAGAACCACTAATATAAATGTAACCACCTTTGAGAAGATTTTATTAACATATATATAGAAAGAGGCTTGTTTTATTGCTTTAAGTTGGGAGAAATGAATTACAGGAACAAGTGAAGCATCATGAATTTGCCCATCTCAGTGAATTTTAACCAGTGCTACCAGAAAGCTCCCCGGAGAAGGCACTACCATACGATGTGGAACCGGTTGGTGTCTGTGATGATGTTGAGATCCCTCGAGCTTTACGCATCTGCCTTAGTCTGAAAACATCTGTGGGTAGAGGCTGGCTTTGTACAGTTGCTGTATCATCTTCTTCTTGCCCTGTTAACAGAGACATATAGATAGAGTAAGATAAGTAACAATCATTTACAATGGTCGTTCTACGGGATGGTAGAAATTCTGTTCATCTAGACATCTACACCTACTAAGTGCCAAACATTCGAGTGATGGCATAGATGGTTCACTTCCATGAGCCATAAACTATATATACACTTGAACACAAACATAAGCAAAGAGAACTAACTGTCTGAATCTTTTCTCTTTGTAGCTCTTCTGTCTCTTGACAATCTTTGAGACCCACCACGGTTTGGACCCGAGGACTCGTTTTGACTTGGAGCATTGCCTTTGGCAACCAAATTCTGCTTTACATTTTGACTTGTTGGTAACTCACTCTGCAAACATATTGACAGAACAACATCCACATTGGGTGTTGGACCTGAGATTTGAGAGGATAGTGACAAACTAATTGGTTAGTGGAAACATAATCAGGTGCTCAGTTCGAATACAACTTCGAGTTGGTTAAAAGAGACTTACCATCAACAACAGGCAAGTTAGCTAAAAACGCTAACAATGCAGGTGGGGTAGTTTTTGGTATTTCGTCATATGTGCTGGCTGATCCATGAGTTGTAGTTGCAGTCACAATACTTGGGAAGGTGTTCGAAGCAGAAACTGCCACTGGGTTTGTAGAACTAGCAAACTCTACAGTTAAAACATGAATGATTCAAATATAACTCACAATTCAGTGCATCATACAGCCAAATGATTCTGCAAACTGCAAAGTGCAAATCCGATACCTGATTTCTTTGTCGGGTCATAAACAACCATCTGAGATGTATCTGGATAAACAACTTTCGACGAAGAAGCTACACTACCTGCAGCCCACAAGGCGGTTTATTTACTTCAGTCATCACCAAAGTTTAACATAATCGATCACACAGAAAACGAAAAAATTACAGACCTATAGCTGCAGGACCATGAGGTAGATTTGTCTTCCCTACTTTCTTATTCAGATTCTTCACAAGCAACTATAGCGAATACAATGATCGGTTAGAATTAGTACATACTAGCTACATCATCAGTAACCATTCGGGCTAATTGTAATTGCAATCATTGCATGGGATATACCTCTTGTCTGGATAAATGATCAAGCTCCTTAAAACTGCATGGCCAAAGATCCATGTAACTGTACCGAGAAACAACGTCTTGAAGTGAACTCTCTAGAGGAGAAGATCCCTCTTCCCCTTTTCCAGAAAGTGCTTCTTTCCTTCTCTGCTCAACCTACAACACGGTTGTCATAGTAAAGAATATTTCAGAGAAAAAGATAGGTATGTAAGCAGAATTTTCCATCAAACAGCCACACTTTGATACTGGGCCTATTGTGGATCTGATTTCAGTAAATTTTCATAGTTGATCAAATTTCTCTTTTGTGAGGTGCCACTCTAACCTAGTCTATTCTAGCAATAATTTGAAAGTGTCAGCATTTTAAAGGATCTTCCATGCAATCAAAGGCCAGTGAATAGACATAAATACTGGGACTCTTCAACAAACTTGTCATCGTAACGGAGTCAACCAAAACAAAACACAGGACGCTAACTACATGTTCTTTCCTACTAAGCTCCCAACATTCTGAGTTGACTACCTTTAAAATACTAGCAAGATCTCCATATGTTTGCTCGAACTGTATGAATCTTTTCCAGACCTGCAAAACATACGGCAGTAAAAATGTTAATCCTAGAAAGCAATTAGCACTAGGGTGTAACCTACTTACTGCCACCAATTGGCTTCTTTATTATATAAGCATTTGAAACAGTATTACATGAGAACTGTTATCGTTTAATTTTAAATGCCTGTCATCCCCAGCATTGTTCATAAGGCTCAGATGTGCATCAAGTTACACCTCCAATTGCTAAACCATTATCATATTTAAGCATTCAGAAATGCTAGAATCAAATGAGTTGCTCGGGTATTTGATTAGCAGGTTGGTTAACTTCCTTGTGTCTCTTTTCATGCTTAAGAAAAAAAAACTGGTGTTCTTAAATGGCTTTGAGGAACAAAACATCCCTATCAGCGTACCTCAGCAGATTCTTCAGCTGGTAAAGTGCTTAATGCTCGTTCAAATAGAGCTCTGATATTTCTATCATCATTCAATCTAGTCAAGAAATCTGCATACCTATAATGCAAAGCAAAACCATCAGGGTTAAATTCTGTTTTAGGAAAGTTAGGGAGAGAAAAACAAGTTTATTTTACTTGAGTAGGCCCTAAAGTCTCATTACATAGAAGAGATTCAAGTATATCTTTAAAAAATGAAACTCTTAGTAAGGCTGCAGTGACCCTCACTCAAGGATGTAAACAGGTTCATTCATATAGAGTTTCAATCCCTCCTCAAAGATTTTATGAGCAACCTGCATACGTATTCAAACATAAGTACTTTTATTGTGAAACTGAATAGATATTGATATCAGAATGCTACATTTATGTATTTGTCTTGCAAGAATGACGTTTTAATTTTCTTTTTTTCTGTTAAAGAAATGAACAAATGATGACAAAGAGGAATGTACGAGAAATAAAAGTAAGGTACATGTACTTTACAACGAAAGGAAGAGATTTAGTGCATCAATAACCAAAACACCACAATAACTTCATTATCACAAAAGCCTCCTAGCCTACTTAACAAACTAAGAGGAAAATAAGACGAGTGGGTTCTGAACTTGACTGAGCGACCACTACTTCCTTCATAATCAATTTATTTATATACCAACAAGACCAAAGAAAAATGCAGTTCCAAATAATCCATAAACCACATAGTAGGTAAGAAAAGCCACCTTTGGATCCTTGTCAAGACAAAAGACCATCGTAGCAAAAGCAATATACACATGATATGTGCAGCTAGGAGATTTTCTAGCATCTAAAAAGTACTTGCGAGCAGCTTCAACACCCTCGGCCCTTCGGAGAAAACGAAGGAACTGCGTAAGAATATACAAGTATATCATATGAGAATGTTCCGAGAGAAAATAAACAATCTAAAAGTGAAAATAATTATACGTGAGAAATAGATGGAGATGAGCAACCCCATGAATATGGTGAAAAAATACAATGGTCCGCATGTAACTATGAAAAGCGTAGATATGCTTTTTATGCCAATCTTAGCAGTCCTAAATTCAGTGTACACGTACTTGTATATGTGCCAAAGAGTTTGTGCTAACTCCCAAAATGCTTTCATATAATTTCTTTGCTGACTGCAAAATCATACAACTATGAGCAAAGGGCATGAAAACAACTAATATATATAGATAATGAGAAGCATGCAGCAAGAACAAGAACCTGAATTGCTCCACGAGATTCCTCCATCTCAGCATAAGCATATTTCAACATTTCTGAATCTGACATAAGAGAGTGGGCAATGTAGACACTTAAAGATATGTAAAAGACCACAGAATGAAGACAACAGAGAAAATAAACTTCTTAAGAGTAAATAGAAGATAAGACTAAAACTGTAAGCCAGCGGGTTAGCAAAGAGTAATAGTCAGACCTTCATAAAGCAACTAATAGTTCATAGACATAAAGAAACAAAGGATAAAATTAGATTTACCAGGAATAGCTTTAAGAGCTCGCTGAAATACTTTGATTGCAGCATCTGAGGAACCAGATTTTACGTGCCACTCAGCATAGTCATGCCATACATCGGGAAAGTGATATAAACACATCAGACACTGAAAAACCAGAGTAATAATCAGCCAATTAAGAAAAAACACATTTCGGAGATTAGTCCTCCTAAATTTCAGGAAAGGCATCTCACTGACTCTTTGTATACCTGTTCATAGGCATATATAATCCGCTTAGTTGACGAGGCCGTGTCAATCCTTTGAGGGTTTCCTCTGAAAGTATTAGAAGTAGAAGTTAGTTATAATTTAGAAGGACTCGTTAAAGAATGATATGCATAGACCTAATAATCACTTGTTGGATGCAATTTGATAGATTTCATTCCAAATTTCTAATTTAGATCATCACTAAATTTATCAGCAAATAAGAGATAGAACAAGATAAAATAAACATCTCAATATTAGTCGTAAAGCAAACACAACCAAAATTCTACTGAGAGACCAACTAATTATTTTATATATTAATATCTAGCTTTGTAAAGAAAAATGGCTAAGCAGCTACGTAAAAACGTATGTTATCACTGAATGAAAAGTAAATTAAAGTAAAAAGTAAGATCATATTTTGGGGGTTTACTTTTCAAAGGATAAAAACTTTTTCCAGGCCACCCACTGAGTTTCTTCCTGCATAAACGATAAGACGGTGCAGAGTACCACAGTGAGCAAATGATACTAATCGAGAAACTGAAAGAATTATTAGCTCAATATGTATTTCCTATCTTAATAACCTGATCTCATGACATGAATTTATGCTAATAATGTCTTTTCAGCCAATTTCAGATTCAATACACCCAATATTGCCAAATTAAAAAAAAATAAAGAAAGAAGCAATGTATGAGAAATTGTTAACCTTGGAAGATCCTGTTGGTGGGACAGCAAGCATGTTCCAATCAATTTCTTCAATGTACTTCTTGCGCTCCCTATATACAGCTCTGGCGCTGTTAAATTTTGGTTGATACTCATTTACAAGTCCTTTTGCCTGCTCACAGGAATAGGTTAGATCATCATCCATCAACCAAACAAAGAAAAACAATTATGTACCTGCTTCTATTACACTACAACTTCATCTAAAAAGAAACCACACAGTTTTAAATTTCTTAGCAGTTTACCAATTGACGGTTAACAGAATTTTCAAAGTTCTC